GAATGATCATTCCTTTTTTCCCTAGTTTGCCTAAAAATCAAATACCTGAAAATAGTACCTAATCCTGGATGGGGAAAGAATTATAAGAAGTTTTTATAACTTAGTATTTTAATAGAAAAAAAGAAAATGGTATACTTGACTCATATCTAGTCTAGTTAGAACCACTTATGAGTATATCTCTCAAATATTCCCAGATTCTTAAAAGGCACTTTTAGGTATCTGAGTCCTCACTAGTCTTGTAATTCTCTCACATGCTCTCCAGTGTGTGTCCATTTCATGCAATACTTGAGACACAGTCTTAGCCCCAAAGTGCAGTGGTCTAACCCAAATACCACACATTCATTAATGCAATCTAAGAAGCCCCAGCACAATGTTGGTGCATTCAGAGGTTAACTAAAACTACTAGATCTTTTCCATATTATGAATCAGACTTCCTACAGGCTGTCTTTTTTTTTTTAATTTAATTTTAAAAAGTTAAATACAGCACTTAATATATCTCTTGCCAAATTTTACTTTGTTAGCTTTGGCTTATTACTCAAGCATACTGAGGGCATTTTGATTCTTCTATCATCTTAGGTAACTCTCCTAGCTTTATGTAATCTATGCATAGAATTAATATTTCTTCTATATATTTATCCAAGTCACTATTTTAAAAATTTATTGATCCCAAACTGTCAAAGATAGACATCTAGAGGAGGCTGCGAGAGTCTTGACTTGAAGCAATATTTCACAAAGTAAGTTTCATGTAATACAACCCAAAATGAGTGAGGGAAGTGTTAAGTATGGGAAATGCTGGGTTACTGCAAAATTTCTCACCCCTTACAATTCGAATGTACATGGTAAATCTCTAAGAAACAATCAGAGTTTCTTAAACATAGCTGACTTAAAACCTTTTTGAAAAAAAGAAATATTTTCTCATCTTGAGAAATCAGTATTCCTAGAAAAAACACTTTATGAAACACTGCTCAAGGGTGATAATAGTACGTTAACCAACATTCTCTGGGTAAGATATTGTTTTATTAGCTTCAATCCCGCCTGCATTATCAACCAACCTACCTAAGCCTTTTCATACTGCCTAAATGATAATCAAGATAGTATCAAATGCAGCAATGATATATTACCAGTCTAACTTATCACAAAGTGAAATAGGACCAGGTAAAGAGGATTTAGTATTAAGATTAGTGAGCCATGGGTGCTCAATTTACTGTGAGAATTATGCTCAATAAGAAGCTATGAAGGCAAGAGATATATTTTAAAAATTCCTATTAAACTGGCTACATGTTAAAAGTTTTGGTGGAAAATTAATCTGTTATATAGGACACCTCATTTTCTAGTTATATTTAGTGAAATACTTCTATGTATTAAAATGAGTTATTAAAATTATCACTAAGTACTATATATTAGAGTCTTATAATAAAAATAATTTAAAAATGTTAAGGTTCTCATACACTGTCAAAAGAAGTTTACATATTCATTTGCAATTTATTTGAAAGATTGTAGTTAACAAAATAGATGCTCTTTGTTAAAACCAGACATGCATAAGTATATCAAAGTCCTTTATCATTTAGTGACTTAATTTCAGAACTGGGTGTACGAGGATAGGTTTTCCTTAGAAAAAAAATTACGTATACTAATCATGTTCAAGCAGCATGATGAAAATTGACTGAGGCAGTATATTCACATAAAGCAGTATCAGTACTGCGAATCCTCCCCATTGTCTTTTGGGCCAGTGGGCCTTAAGATATTGTTGAGATAACTGGCTTCCATTAGCAAGCATATGATTGGCAGGATGATAAAGTCTTTTCCCTCACAGGTCAGCTATTTCCTTTTCTTGAGAAGAGGGCAATTCTGATGATCCATCTTTTAGCTACAGTCTCTCACTGAGTCCCAATTCTCTTGCCTTCAGCTTTGATATGGTTCTAACTTTCCTCTTGTATCAGCTCATACTTGTCATCAACTCTTCTATGCAGAACAGCAAATATCAGGAGTTTGACCTCAGGGCAAAGTCCGGGTGGGCAGGTAAAATTTGACCACTGGACCTACTTCCTAATCTTTCATACCCAGCAATTCACGGAGCAGTATCAAATTCAAACCAAAAAACAGAAGCATGACCCCTTATAAGTACTATGAAAAGGGTTCTTTTGCCTTTCTAAGTATACTTGAAAAGAACTGTCAGCTACCCTATTAAGACAGAAATGGATCACAGACTAGGAAAAAAAAAAAAAAGGAAAAGTGTAGAAACTCAACTGAAATGTAAATAAAAGTGTTAACACCCTCTTTATGTTTGGTGATAAGCTACTTCATATAAAAGTGTTAAAATAATATGCTATAAAATATCTTTATGAAGTCAGGAATGTAACACTATTGAAACTTGAAGACATCCTTAGTTAAATAATCACTGACATTTGATACAAAAGCTTGTATCCCCTCATATTAATTAGACTTTAGTTTTCAAGACTAATTTTATTTTTGGCCAATTCCCATACTTGACATTTCACCACTTAACTGTTTATAAATTAATTTGAAAAACAAATATAGGTGAAACATAACTTTCCTTATCAAATTATTAAATCCGGACCTCTGAAATCACGAAATTCAAGTTATGTCACAGTGGTCTAGCACATATAGACAAGACCTAACTGCATCCTCTTGTTTTAGAATACAAAAGAATAAGAACAGAGTATGATTACATTTTAACATTAATTGGCAGGGGAAATAATTTAAGCCCTTTTAAAAATAGAAAAATCAACACATAAAAATTTAGCTCATCAGAATTTTTTTTATCACTAGTCACTTCCACTGCATATTAACTACCAGTTATAATTACTAATATAAAATTGTGTTTTATATTAGTTATTTCTATATAAATCTTTTAAAAGTTCTACATGTGTCATTCTGAATAGATTTCAGAATTCTAAATGTTTCATAATAGATTTTTTAATTCACTTCAAAGTCTTTTAAAGAAATTACATTGATGAGGAAAAGTCAACCAAGACTTAATGCCTCTAAGTGCACACACTTGAAGAGTAAAATCAGCCAAAAAGACTTGAGATGTTTATTAATATTTATAAGTATGCCTTAATAATAATTCCCTAGGGAGCTATATGCTTGTAAAGAGGCTTTGCTGTCAAGTGATGATTGTCTTTGAAGGAAAAAAGTACCTGAGATCAGAGTTTTAATCTGCATTAAACCAACCACTTATCTGGACAAATCAAGAAACAGAAGCTTTACCAACTAGTTCAATAAATTTGTGTTCCTATTCACAATCTTACGGTGAGATTATAAACTAGTTAACTCCATACAAACTCACATAAAACTGAGAAAATGTCACAAAATAAATGTTAAGTTTCTGTAAACAGATTATTTGTATGTAATGGGAGCTATCTCCAAATCACATACTCTGCATTGGGGGACATTTCATGTTCTTGCATAGGGAAGCATACCCCAGTAAGTGTCCACAACCTAACCGAGAAATGAACATACAACCAAGCCTGTTTATATATTAGATCATCAGCTTGTTCAGAGCAATAGGACTATAACAGAGAGAACTCCTTCTACCGAAAATGGACCTAGCGTCAATAGAAAGAACATATTCTGGTAACTGGTGTGGAAATTCAGAATTCGCCTTCTTCATTTTCTACTATCTTCCCCTATTAGTAAGGCTAATCACATACAGAGCTAGGTCATCCACAGTACTCTTTGTTTGGCATAATACATAAGCACTGATTGCAAACAGAAATAAATACAAATATATTTTATATGTTCAGGCTTTACAAACACAATAGAGAGACAGGAATTGCTTTTTCACTTTCCTTCTAACCTAATTTATTTCTATGTGACTCATTCACTGTCTTATATGTATTCCTTACAGTTCGTGGGTGTTTTGCTTCTCCAAAAGATTTTAAAGCTCCATAAAAATGAAACTGTGTCTTATATTACCGCTGTATCTATTTCAACTACATCTCCCTTCTCCAAATAACCAGTACATAATAGTTCATAAATACTTATTAAACACCGGCTTGGAATTAGAGAAAAAACAGCTCTACTCTTAAACACTTCCTTAAATCAGGGCTCCTTAACTGCTCAAACTGGCCCTGCTCTACACATCACTGGGGTAGCACCTATTCCTGCCAGTGGTGGAGCCCCATCTCGTCATCTCCATTCCCCGAAGGGGAAGGGACCATGAACAGACCAAGAGCACAGTGTCTTTATTTTACTGCATCTCCGCTTGGTTCTTCTTGCCAAGGGCAGCAGTCGCACTGTTGTCAATTCTCCTGAGCCCTCTCACTTGGATCCACCCTCCTCCACACTCTTGTGTCTCCCAGCTTTATTAAGCTCCTTAATCCTAGGATTAAGAAAGAAAAAGAAAAGGGAGGAGGAAGAAAGAAGAAGAAAGGAATAAGAAAAAAAAATGGGGGGTGGGGGAGAAAAAAAAGAGTAACGGGGAGAAAATAAAGAAAATGACAATAGAGGAGAGGTGTTCAAGAGTAGTAAAATGAATAGATCTAAAAATTATCATATTTGTTACTACACTAGAAAAGAATTATATAAATATATAATTATCTCTTTGATTTTAACCTTCCTTCTGGAGGCATACAGAAAAATTTATGAAAATAGCATCCGTTACCACTGACAAGATTTTCAGCAAGAGAATTACATTATTAAAAAATGTAATAATTTACCTTTAACTTGGGTCCTGACACTAATGTTCTACACACCAATTTTCACGTGATCATGACATAATTAAGAAATAACTTAAAATCCAAGTGTCATTCAATCAAAATATAAAACTGTTCTTTAGTCATGTGTTTAGCAATGATTATGTTACCCAAAGAGAATTCTCCGTGGAGTTGAGACACTGAAGAAAAACTGGACCAAATACATAGTTATCAGAGAAGCAGTTTTGTAAAGACAGGTTGTTTCAAGGCAAACAAGCATTCCTATAGCATTAAAAAAAGGGGGAAAAGGCAATAAATGAGAAGGACATTATTACATCTTACTTGTCTGAGGTCAATGAATGCTAGCTGCAGGGTATCCCCCTGGAATCCTGGCACCGGCTCAGAGTTGGCAAACACTATTTAAAAAATAAAAGAAGAAAAACAAGATTGCAAAATATACAAGAGTTTTTGACCGCTAAATTAATTTCTACTCATTATAAATGTATTATAATATTTACACATAGCCATTTCAAATGAAGACTATTTATAACCTTCAATTTTCACTACTGAGAGCACTCGCCACACCCATTACCACAAATATTTTAATAATTTTAAACTTCTAATCTGCCATTTAATCACTATAATCCTTAATTACAATAAATTTAGAAGGGTTATTCTACATGAAGTTCAAGGTGGTAATATCCTTCAATCAAGAGAAGTTTTCTGATTCTTTTTAGCCTTAGGTGAACGATTATAGAAGCATTTTAAAACTATACCAATTCCACGACTGTCAGCATATTTCAAACATCTGCTTTGTTACAGAATATGCTCCATAAAAATATTACCTCTAACTAACAGCAATAACAGGCAAACATGCAAGAAGTCAGCTTTACATATAGACAGACAACAGGTAAAAATGTTCTAAGGAGCAAAATGGGGATGATGCAGGAATGTTTGTTCTGATCTTTTAATATTTTTTCCATAAAGGCATCATACTTTTTTAAGAATTAAAAGATATATTAACAAAAGATTGCAACTATATTTCAAAATATTTTTTTTTACCTTTTTTTGGTACTAAGAAAACTATAATACAGTAGCTTACTTAGTTAAGCTGAAGACAAGTTCAATGCTAATAATTTTGAAGACAAAAGACTTGGCTCATAAGAAAGACCCTATAATTTTATACTCAAGCTTCTCTGATAAGAATAAAACTGCTTGCAACCATTCTCCCTACCCATTAATATCTGGTTGCAAGAGAACATTATAGATTTTCCATTTGTGAATTTATTTCAGCCAGTGTTTTAGAAATTATTTAAAATTTCAACCTCTATCGTTTTTGGAACAAAAATAAATCAACAATTAAAAATAATTGTTATATATAAAAGCCTGTTTGATCATTAGTCGATGAGCACTGACCACCAGGGAGCAAACACTCAATGCACAGGCATGGAAACATGGAAGAGACTGATGAATCTCAGAGAGAAGGGGAAAGGGAGGAGAATGGGAAGAGTTTAACCAAAGATCTTATATGCATACTAGAGGCCGCATGCACCAGTGGGGTCCCTCGGCCTGGCCTGCAGGGATTGGGTTGAAACCAGCAGTCTGACATCCCCCAAGGGGTCCCGTATTGCAAGAAAGTGCAGGCCAGGCCCAGGGACCCCACTGGTGCATGAATCTGTGCACCAGGCTTCTAGTAAATATATGAAAGCCTAACACAGCTTCATTTGTCTGGCATTTTTAAGGCATGAAGAATTCAAAATGTTTTTGTTGCTATTGATTTTAAGATAATAATCATTTTTCATTTAAGCATCAAAACTCTTTTTAATCTTAAGCATATTTTATAAAATTTTAATCTATAACACAATACTTCCCTTTTTTGAAGTATACTAAATTTTATTTGAACTTTCCTTAATTATCTAGATCACCATTAAAAATATTTCTATATAAATGAACAAAAAGATTGATATAGAGGCAGAGGATCATCAAACAGACTGTCAAATTACAGCAGGAAGGCTGGGGAGGGGAGAAGGAGGTAACAGATCAACCAAAGGACTTGTATGCATGCATATAAGCATAACCAATGGATGCAAGACACTGGGGGAGGGGGGGAAGGCATGTGTAGGAGTGGGGTGGGGGATATAGATACATGTAATAGCTTAATCAATAAAAAAAATTAAAAAATATTTTTATGCATTCAAATATCAAATCATCCTGAAACTAATATAATGTATGTCAAGTATACCTCAGTCAAAAAAACACCTATAGGGACTTGGCCAAGTGACTCAGTTCATTGGAGCCTAGTCCTGTATACCAGAAGGTTTCGGGTTAGATCCCGAGCCAGGATACAGCTGATTGATGTTTCTCTCTCAATGTCTGTCTCTCTCTCCCTCTCTCTCTCTCTCTCTCTCTCTCATTAAAGGAATCATATCCTCTAGCGAGGATTAAAAACCCCCACACATACAGAAAGTTAAAAAGAACAGAAAAAGGACACTTTTTATTCTATAGGATACATTCCCAGCATTGCTATGGTATTAAGAACTGTTCTCTATTACATTAGAGCAACTCAGAATGTTGTACTGAGTTGTGTCTGGATTTTACAATTTCTCTTCCTTTTCTCTTGCAGTTTTAATATAAATTCTTACTCCTTTTCTCTTATTCATCTCTTATTAATATGCTGCCTTTAATATTTTTGAGCTGTTGTCTAAAGTAAGAGCAAATACAGTCTGGGCAAGGACCCCTCCCACAAGTAAGGTGATGGGTTTTATATATGCCTTTCAGGATACAATATGTACCTTTTGAGTGTAAGTAACCTTTTGATTACTCAGAGGTACACCATTTCCTTCCTCCTCTCCTCGCCCCACACCATTACTTCATGGTTCTCTGCTAGGTTCTAAGTAGTCATGCTCATTAGATAAGTGACTGCACTCACCTTTCTCAGGCCCCCTATTTCCAGAAAATTAAGATTTATTGAGCAAATCTAGCCACACTTTTAATTATTTAGTATAGTTTATTCATACCACTGTTTGTTTTTTTTCATACAATGAAAAGTGGCACAATTTCATACTGTGGCAATCCTATTACCCCCTACCATGTCTCAGAAAACTGAGTTGCCTTTCTCTAGTACCATCAAATTTTTATGAAAAAAAAAAAAACCACAAAAAAAAATAAGCAAAGTTATAACAGCCTATTAAAAGTAAAGGCGTTTTTTTAATTAAAAAAACAAACAAAAACCCTTTCTAAATACCATTCAGCATATTGGCTTTTCTGGCCACACACGTAGGCTACTATTTCCAAATAATATCTATATATATAAAAGCCTAAGCGACTGAATGACCAGAATGACCAGAAAGACTGGAATGGCCAGAATGACTGGAACTGCAGGAGCGACTAGTCGCTATGATGTGGGCTGAAACATCAGGGGTCAGACGCTCAATTCAGGAGCTGCCCCCTGGTGGTCAATGTGCTCCCACAGTGGGAGCATCACTCAGCTGACAGACCTGACCTGACGGCCCACCAGCCCCGAGGCAGCCACTTCCTCAATAGTCCTGCAGGTACAGTCGCCAGAGAATGGACCAGGCACCGATGGACCAGCGCCACCAGCACAATCCTGACAGCGCTGCCGGCCTCCTGTAAGTCAGCCTCGCACATCGCAGAAGAAAGGATATAAAAGCGGCTGCCAAGTGGCTCTCGACAAGTGGCGTGAATATCAGTGGGACAGATCCGGATCTTGGGTCGGCAATGGTGTCCCAACACTCACCGGGAGGTCTGATCGCATCCTGGCACCCCACCCCCAGCCACTCAGGACCCTACCCATGCACGAATTCATGCACCGGGTGTCTAGTTTAACTATGAATCCCTAGTGGTTTCCAATCAAGACTGTAAGTGTTATCTCAGCCCCTACGCTCACCACATATACATATACATTCACACAAAAATAAGGACTTCCTATAATGCAGGGAGACTTACTTTATCTAGCAGGTATAAAAACCAGCTTAATTTCAATTATATTTGCAATTATTATGTACTTATTCTCCCCAAATTTTTCTATACTGAAAATAATCTGTCATTTTTCTCCTCCCTCAGTTCCTGTTTAAGATACTATAGTTTAAGCCCCATTGCTTGGCATTAAATCAAAGAGCTTAGTATCCAAATTATAAATACCATAAATTTATATAGCACTTTAAGTTTACAAAGAACTTTCTCACTCACAGTCTGCTTTGATCATCACGATTACTTATTTTAGTGAACAGGGCATAAGCTCTTGCAGCTAGAAGAGACATCCCCTTTGAAATACCTCCCTCAGTTACCTTGGCTAGATGATAGCTTTTAGGCTTTCTCTCTCTCTCTCTCTCTCTTTAGAATGGGAGGCTACTAAGCAGTCTAACAATCATGTGGCACAGAGGACATATGCTATTCAATTTATCAACAGCTTCATATATTTTCCTTTTCAATGCAGGCAATCAATCCTGTTGCTTCTACCCTTAAAAATGTCTTGAGTCTGAATCTGTGTCTACCTTATTCAAACTATCCTCATTTCTTGCTTGGATTACTAAAACATACTTTGATCTTGTCTCTCTTTTCTTGTGTGCCATCTCTCCATCCACTTTTCCTAGTATGACTTATGTAAGATGTAAACGTGATTTGTGCCACGTCAGAGCTTAACATCTTTCAGTGTTTCCCCATCATCTTCACAAAAAAACAAGACAGTGAAGATCCTTTATACTCTGGCCTTTACCGATCCCCCAGCCTCATCTTTTACCACTGCCCTAAGGGCATCTTAAACTCCATACCAAACTACCTGCATTTCCTTACCAAGGCCACAGTCTCTTCCCACACTGCCTTCAATACTTCTGCTTCTTTTCCATGGAACAACTTTTACTTATCCTTCCATTCAAGCATCATATTCAAGGAAGACTTCCAGTACCCTGCAGGCTGGGTTAGATCTCTCCACTGTGCCTTCACTGTAACTTCCTGTGCAGTGCCTAACCATACCACCCATTCTGCCATTCCTCACACTGTGTAAATACTTATCCTGGCATGAGAATATAAAATTTTCTCAAAAAATTATCCTAGGCAGAAAATTATCTTTACTGTTAGCTAAAGAATGTGTATTATTTGGAAAATATCTACACAAGGTGGGAAGAATTGTCAGGGGTGGGAAGGGGAAGAAAGAGTATCCATGAAGTAAAAAAAGATTGACAAAGGATGGAAAGGGAGAGTGAGATGGCTAGGCTAAAGTCTTAAGACTTCTTGTGGACAACAAGGCAGGAGCATATAAAACGGAATAATTCTGTAACTAAATACATGACTGAATATAAATGCAAATAGTCAGATTTCTGATCATTCTTTCTTGCTACATCTTAAGACTTAAAGCACCTAGTTAGAACTCAGATTTTGGCTAGGCAAGAAAAGTATCTTATGTTTACGGGATGTGTCAGTACAATGGGTGACTAAGAGCACCATCTAGTGGTCTTTCTGGTGATAAAGAACTTATGCTGGGAATTAAGCAAGGGTCTTTGAGTTAGAATTCTTAGCTCTTAGACTTACATTCTGTTACATGTGTTGGCAACAGTGGGATGCAAGACCCTTGGACCAACTGCCCCTTTATATTCATCACCCTACTTTCATATAAAGTCATATCTAGTCCTCTCCTTTCTTGGAGATAAACATGGGAAAAGTAGCCTCAATGCCATTAAATTCAGATAGTCAAAAAGTCTAATACTAAAAGTAAGCAGCCAACTTACTTAAAAAAAAAAAAAAAAAAAAAAAAAAAAAGACATTTAGGCCCTAGCTGGTTTGGCTCAGTGGATAGAGCATCGGCCTGTGTACTGAGGGTCCCAGGTTCAATTTCGGTCAAGGGCACATGCCCGGGTTGTGGGCTCGATCCCCAATGGGGGGCATTCAGGAGGCAGCCGATCAATGATTCACTCTGATCACTGATGTTTCTAACTCTTTTCCCCTCTCCCTTCTTCTCTGAAATCAATAAAATTCTAATCCTATATAATAAAAGGCTAATATGCAAATTAACCAAATGGTGGAGCAATGGGTCACTGTGACGTGAGCTCCCCCTGGTGGTCAGTGCACTCCAATAGGGGGAGCACCCCACTCAGCCAAGAAGCAGGGCTCATGCTGGCGAGCACAGCAGCTGAGGCAGAAAGCCTCTCCTGCCTCCACGGCAGCGCTAAAGATGTTCAACCAAAGGCTTAGGCCATCCCATAAGGAGTGGGCCTAAGCCATCGGTCAGACATCCCCCAAGGGGTCCTAGACTGTGAGAGGGGGCAGGCCGAGCTGAAGAACACCCCCCCCCAAGTGCACGAATTTCATGCACTTGGGCCTCTAGTAATAATAATAAAGAGACATTTAGGCCAGGCCAGTTAGCTCAGTTGGTTAGAGCACCATCCTGATACATCAAGGTTGTGGATTTGAATTCCAGTCAGGGCGCATACTAGAAACAATCAATGAATGCATAAATAAGTAGAGCAACAAGTCAATTGCTCTCTCTCAAATCAATTTTTAGAAGGCATTTAAATTTCTTATGTCATTCACATGACTTTTCCTGAATCCTTTTATTTTGGGATATGAATTTTTTTTAAGGCTAGAGCTAGAGTTCCAGTGGCTATTGTCACACACAAAAAATCTATAAACAGACTTCATCTTTTTTTTTTTTTTTTGAGGTGAGTTAAGTCTTTATCCAAAATGTATAAAGACCAAGGCCTTCACACCTATAGATTCCTCAATTCCTCAATAACTCACCACTGAAACAGGTGCCTGTACTCTTTAATCTGGAGCTCTTCTAATGCCCATAGATGTAAGATATTAAACTCTTAGGAGCTGATTACACACTTAGGTATTTCTGTAGGATGCATGAAAAAGTACATTCTAGACTTATTCTGGATACTTCAAATCTTTCTGATTCCTGATGCTTTGAAAATATTTTGTACTTTATTAATGATGGGCAGCACCTCTGAGATACCTTTATAAAAACTTAAGATGACATTTTGATCTTTTCTTCTATACCAGGAGGGACTGTCTGGCCCTCGGACTAAATAAGGCCTGCAAATTCATTTGGTCTGGCTCATGGCTCGTCCTCGTTAGTATAGTGGTGAGTATCCCCGCCTGTCATTTGGTCTGGCTCTACCAAGACATTAGGAGTGAGTTAGTTAAATGTTTGACCAAATATAGCAGGCTAATTTTAAGTTGATAATTTTGTATGGCCCCAGAATGATGTTATAAATATCCAAATGGCCCTTGGCAGAATAAAGGTTCCCCACCCTTGCTCTATACAGTTGCATTTGTAAGGAAGGTACCTATATTGTGGCCCAATGCATAACAGGTGTTTAATAAATATAAAACAAAACACCTACACGGATTTAGAGCATTATCTTCATGCCAACCTTTGCAAGTGTTCCTCCATCTAGGAAGTGATTTCTCTCAAACTTACACAAATCTGTAATAGGATCAAACTTTCAGAGTATTTGGAACACATACTTGTAATTCCAAAGTCTATGTTCCTTGATGACTTCCTGACTTCTCCAACCACATAATCATAACAGTATCATGTTTGTGGTCAAGTTAACCACAAGTATTCATTCATTCATCCATAGGCTCTACCTAATATTTTCAAACTATACAACTTTTTATCTAAATGAGATCTGTTACGTATACTTTCTCACAGTACCATATACTTTTCTTTTTATAGACTTCACAATTTACCATTATATTTGTTATTGCAATTATTTAATGACTGCCTCCCCACTGGGCAAAGCCCCAAGAGGGTTAGGACCCTGAACAGCAAAGGTCCTAAGCACCAAGCACATAGTATATTTGAAGGAATTCATTAATGTATGACTCCACACTCTCCTATGCCTTAAATTTTGCTGCACCTGAATCTTAGAACAAGGATATATCTTGAAAATTACCAATTCCAACTACAATATTTCAAGGAGAAATTGAGGCCTCTAGATTGTTGAATAGTTTATCCAAAGCCACTTGCCCCAAATATAGGCAGGGCCAGGACTAAAACTATGGTCTCAACTTCCTGACATGTGCTCAGACTGTGTTAAGACTGATTTGAAAGCACTTTAAAGAAAAGTTCTATGTAATTTCATATAATTGTATGAAATTTCATGTAATTTCATAAATTGTACATTCCCGAACTCAGACATTTTATCAAGTTTGACCTAGTATGGATTAAAAAAATAACAATTAAAAAAGATACAAAGAAAAATGGCAACTTTAGCCTAGATATGCTATTTGATTCTACCTGTGGAGTGACATTCTGAGGCCTGAAAAATATATGTACAATGTTTCTACAAAGTAAGAGGATGGAAAGATAGTCTGTTTTCTGATCAAGCCAAATACAAGAAAATATAACTCAATAAAGGTCATTATTTTTTTTAAATATATTTTTATTGATATCAGAGAGATCTAGAAACATTAATGGATTAGAGAGAATCATTGATCGGCTGCCTCTTGCAGGCCCCCTACTGGGGATTGAGCCTGCAACCCATGTGCCTTTGATTGGAATCGAACCCAAGATCCTTCAGCCTGCAAGCCGGCGCTCTATCCACTGAGCAAAACTGGCTAGGTAGGCAAGGTCATTTTTAATGCTTATATTTCATATTCACCCCCTATTGCTTAAATTCTTTGATTTAAACCTTTCTGAAATTGCCCAGGATCTTGGTGGTTCATGGGCTCCAATTCCTGATCCCTATGCTATCTGACTTCCTTGAACTCTGGATCTCTTGCTAGCATAAAACAGAGTAGTAGGATTTTATGTTAATCCCAAGAACCAATCACAGACTTTTAAGTAATAGTTTCTAAGCCTCCTGAAAAGGAAGTAATTACTATGAATCAATATGGATTTATGAAATAGAGTAGTATAATTTTCTTCTTTGAAAGACTAATTATACTGGCATATGAGGAAATTCAATGGTCATTATCCCTATCTGCCAGGAAGGTATCTGACAAAGTTGCTCATAACTAAGCAAAACTATTAGTTATATTCAATTAGGGAATTAATAACTGACTGACAAAATCTTTTTTTTAATATATTTTTTATTGATTTTGTACAGAGAGGAAGGGAGAGAGATAGAGAGTTAGAAACATCGATGAGAGAGAATCATCGATCAGCTGCCTCCTGCACTCCTACTGGGGATGTGCCCGCAACCAAGGTACATGCCCTTGACCGGAATCGAACCTGGGACTCCTCAGTCCCCAAGCTGACGCTCTATCTACTGAGCCAAACCGGTCTCGGCTGACTGACAAAATCTTAAGAAACCCATAAAATTCTGAATAATGGATCTAAGTCAATACGAATGTAATGTGGTTCTCACACGTCACTGTCATCAGAATCACATGAAGGCGGACCTATTCAAAGACAAATTGCTTGGGTCCTGAGCCCAAAATTCCCAGTTCAACAGGTAGGGCCCAGAATTTGCATTTCTTTTTTTTCTTTTCTTTTCTTTTTTTTTTTTTTTTTAATATGTTTTTATTGATTTTTAGAGAGAGAGGAAAGGAAAGGGATAGCAAGACAGAAACATCAACAATGAGAGGCACTGATTGGCTGTCTCGTATATGGCCCCTACTGGGCATCCAGCCTGCAACCTAGGCAGTGCCCTGACTGGAAATCAAACAAGTGTTGGTTCCTGGGTTGATGCTCAGCCACTGAACAACACTGGCCATGTGAGAATTTGCTTTTCTAACAAATTCCCAGATGATGCTGATGCTGCTCCTGGGGCCGTGTTTTGAGGGCCACTCAGGTTCGTGATAATGACCTTAAAGATGTAAAAAGCATGAGCACAAACCTGCAGATTATATTAAATTGTGATATAAAAAGATCTCAATTGGCCAGTTATGGGACAAATCTTAAAATAAAATTTAATAAGGATAATCTTAAAATCCTAAAACAAAAAGCAATATACAAGTATAGGATAAGAAAAACAGAGTTTAACCAACAAGGTACTTACATTCACATTGTATGACATCTAAGTTAAATTGCTGAATGGCTCCCATGCTTATCTGTTTTAACTCACTATCCAGTAGCATCTGCATTAAGGATGTTGACAGATGCTGGCAGGCTGACATGCAAGCGGTCTGGGCAACTTTCCCCTGTTTAAAACAAATATCCAAATCAAAAAATAAGCAAACAAAGAAACAAACAAAAATATCACATAAAGTATCAGAAATATTATGCACCTGGCATTTTTTTGTTCCTTTTTTGGGTTATAAGAGCGACTACTGGTCTTTCTGTTTCTGCATTTGGAGTGTCTATGCCTTTTAGCATTGAAATTAAAATTAATATTCTTGTTCACCTGTCCTTCTCAGGACATAATATCATTAAAACTCTTACTCCACATAGAAAAATTAAAATACAAGTAAAAAATTATTTCAGATCTCTTGATCATCTCAAGTATTTTAAAACACATTAAAATGTGATACTCATGACATAAAATTAACTTATATTGACAGACATTTTATTTATATCACACTCTTTAAGCTCTTCTTTACCTAATTAACCATGCCAGAATAAAGGAAATTAATAAACAGTGTAATTTAAGTTATTACCATTTTAACTAAGTTAAAAATATACTTTGTCATAAGTTCTAATCACAACATTAGTTTGGACTATAGTTTCAATTATCAGGAAATAAAAAACTTCAAAAATCATCTACAGATACACATTTAGGTTTAAAAAGTAAATTCCTAAATCATCTGATAATTTAGAAGTATGTAGTTAAGTAAAACTACAAGTACTTGTGGTTTTCTTTCATTAAATATACAAAGCATTAGGAAAGTTTCTACTAAAATAAGTTGCTAAAACACTACATGAACTTTCATTGATAGCTTTAATTAAGGTTCTTTTTTCTCAAAATGATTTTTAAAATGATAATTTTAAATGTTTAGCCTTTAGATTATATAGCTGAATAACAATACAATGTCATTTTTAGTATAAATTGTTTCTTTGAACAGGCTTTATATTTCTACTAGAAGCTTAAAATAATGTAAAACTCAAAGTTTTCTAGTGTAATACTGCTCCTAAAATGACTATCTTCAACCTACATTTATGTGATTTGGTGGTGGACCAATCCCCAAAATAAGATTCAAAGACTATAAATATGGTTGGAAATAATGACTTCTAGAAGATGTACCAAGTTTTGCTTCATTTGCATTAACTAATATTTTACTCAGTGATATTTAATAATTATTCTTCCTACTTATCACAAAAACTCTTTAGCTACAAAATATCTCCCAAACATCTATGCTACAATATATTTGTACAAAAATATTTACATAGAATTGATGTGTTAGAAAAGAAATAACCTAAGTATATCTTTGTGATATTTACTAGAACTACATTTGTTCAAGTTACACATTTAAAGTCAGATGAGAAACAAGCAACTTTTATGAATGAATATTTAGCATTTAGACATTATGCACAGTGAAAAACTGCATATCTGAAATGGAATGTCAATTTCTCAATCAAAAACTTTAGGGATTAAAGCCGACACAAACAATATATCTGACAGATACTGATGAACTGTCAAAAAGGAATGTAACAAACAATGCAAAACCCAGCATGCTTCCAGATCCCTCAAACCAAGAAGAATTAGTCTGGGAGACGTGCAGCTCCATTCCTAAAGCAGAATAATATCAATATGAATGGGGGGTGGGGAGGAGTAGAAAAGGAGAAATCAATGGCATGTAATTTAATTACAATGTACTAGGCTCAAGAATACTTAATGGAAATGTCATTTTGACATAATGGAACAACTAGTGCATTTTAGTTTAATGTACTTCTCTATTAAATCAGCTCCATGTCCTACTTATGTCGCTATTATAATATACTAACTACAAAAGCAGATTAATAAATTGCCAAAACAAAATTACTATTATATTCATCTCATAAGCAAACACACTGCACAATGTAAGTGGTATTATTTTAAGGTGATCTTTAAAATTTAATATGAGTTCAGATGCTACCAATGACTATAAAGCAATAGTACTGGAGCCAAAAATGATAGTAAAAGTACAGATACACAGGCTACTCTATAAATCTAGTGGAAAGAGGTAATGAAAACACAAACACACACATGCCCACACATGAATTTAGCCTTTGTTTGAATCACATATGCATTAATAAAATTCTATATTAAATTTTTTAAATTATGCATATTAAATAGAGTCTTATTGTTCTCAAATGAAATAAATTCATCCTTTACATAGCTCAAATGGAAGTTAACATCAAGAGCTCAGATTCTTAATTTTTTAACACATTATGTATTGTTTTTTAAAATGGCTACTTCCTAATTATAAAAAGTAAACAAAATTCTTACATTTCACCTAATATTTATTTTTAGATACAGATAAGAAATTTTCAATTTTCCAAATATTTTGCACACACAAAAAATATATTTGATAATTCATTTCTGATGCCTGTAGCCCTTAGCATACTTTGATATAATCAAAACACCCCTTTCTGAACACTATTATTGCTTTTATTGTTGATGGTTCTTACTAATATATCATTCTAGGACAAAAATAATCTAAATAGCCTTACAATTACTTTTAAAAGTAGAGATGCTCTGTTTTTGGTTTTTAACATTATAACAAATAAAGCCAAAACAGTTAAGTGACTGAGAAAATATAGCACATTTAACAAATTTCAAGTACCTAGAAATTTCTGCTGCCCTCATCTGAAAAATTAATTGCAACTATTACTAACATTTTCTTTCCCTTTAACAACACGAAGTTCAATAAATAAGTAAAAACACCTGCCAACTTTTAAAGGTAACTACTTTTTTACCCAGCTCTAACATTTTGCTGAAAAACAACTTGCAAAGAGAGAACACCCTTAGACAAACTTCTTATATTTCAAAGGAACTTGTAAAAGAGAATCTGCTGACATATTAGAGCCTTTTTGCATTACCCAAAAGCTTTTCTTTTCAGAACAATTGTGGTAAAGAGACATTTGGCTCCTAGGAAATTCCCAGAGGGTCAACCATATGCATCCTTCCATGGCACCTTCACAGTGCTGCTTTCTAGATCCATGTCTCAAAAGCAGCTTTCATCATTTACTTGTGTGTCAGTCAATATGATTTATGGACTGCATTCAACGAAGTCAAAGCATATAGAATGAGAAATATGACTACAATCTGCTAATTTGTTTTGTATTGAGCCACTTAAGAGTCAAAGACCTGATGTCAGACTGAGACCAGCAACACAATTAACCAGTCGGTGACAGATTCATCCATCCTCCCTGCCAGGCTGTGCCAATCAAAGACAGCATGAGGCGACATTTGGTGAAATCAGTAAGAAAACTCATTCTCTAAGTAACCTATGTAAGACCTTGATTGACACTTTTTGAATTTAGTTTGTGGAACACAGCCACTCTACCCAATAGTCCCTTGCTGCAAGCTGTGAAATAAGGCTTTTAATGCCAATCACAGGAACAATAAACCACAAACCACCAACCTTCAGTTTAAAAGGAATCAAGAAAACACATCTGCTTGTATGTCAAGCCAAATTTCCAAAATAATTTACTATTATAGATTGGGCTAAAGATACTGTTTCCTTTGAAATATCATAAAATGACATGATAACAAAAATACAACACATTTTATTAATTATGACACAACTGTTTTAGTTTCAAAGTAATGTTTTGATAGATCTACTCCAATATAATAGGAGAAATGTAGAATGCTTAAAAACTAATTTGACACACTTAAATTTTCATTGAAGCTTTCATTTCTGTCTCACCATTCTCTTATTTCAAAGATCTAATAAAAAAGGTTTGATTTCAACAGTAATTATTTAAAAGCATTTTTCAATACTGCTTTCATTCTCTCAAGTACATTTAAGATAAAAACATGCTCTTGAAATCACAAACCATTCTGTATTGTTCTACTTTCCTTAAGGGTCCCAAGAGAACCCATTTTCCTTTATATCCCTATAAAAGGTCAACTTTGCACAATAAACTACTTTTTTACTTAAGTAAAAAGGAATATATAGACTTGGAAATATTCTGCTGTATTTATTATTCTTTAAATTGATAGCAGGTTCTGTTTTAAAAGGTTATGTAATTCTTGCCAGAAAATAGTGGGAAAATGAAATTAAATTGTGATCAATTTGAAAATTAAATCTAACAATGGTAAGTGAATTTATTAATTCTGATTTTGTATAGCTGTCTAAAGGTATTTAACTTAAAGCAATAAAATACTACAGTATTCAAACTCACTGCCTCTCAGTTTGCTATATAAATTTAGTTATGAGATTGTGAAATAGTTTTTCAGAGGGAAGGCAAAAGAGGAAGGAAAGTATTTTAATGAATCAGTCTCCTAAAGAGCCACAATTTATATTCTTTGAAAACACATAGCCTGAAAGAGTGAGGAGTTCCATCAAATGTGGAGTAAACACTAAAATTAGAAACAAATTCTCAAATGAAATATGAAAAAAGATGCCCATTTAAAAAGTAGACATTAATTTTAAAAACCTATTATTATTATTCTATTTTATATAAGAACCACTAATCTAAAATTTTACTGTATTAATCTATATTTTGCTCTAAAGAAAGAATGTTATTAAATCAGGGGGAAAACATACCTATAACATTAGTATAAAACATGAAAATTTCCCCATGATGATTTTAAAAATGCACAAAAATTCCACTATATAGCAAGATAGGTTTTAATCTATTTTCTGGCTGATCACTCTGTATAACACTGAAATGAATAACATTGAAATGTCTTATATTCCCAATAATAGAGAATGGATGAGTTATAAGGTTTAAATGTCAAGATGAATTTCTTTATTGAGTTTTAATAATAACCTTAACACCATCTTGAAGACAGATTTTTGAAATTATGTCAAAAAATACTCATAGGCTTATCAAAATATACTCATTCTAACACCCCCAAAATTCTCCAAAATATTTTTGCACTTCTGTTTTCCTCTCATGCTCTCAATTCTGTTCCTATCTAAATAGCTATAGCCCCAAAAGAATTGGTTAACCACAATCCCCACAATTATGAGTTCTCTCTTATTAAGCTTTTCTTCTCCTAACGATTTCTAATCATAAGGACATCATAATTTCTCTCACTCACAAATATACAAAAAGCAAGGGAAGTTAGAGAGGAGATGTAATTTCCCATGTGGTGACTGAGTAGATGGCCAAGCCACAGAATTCAGGTTGAAAAACTGAAGCATTCCAGGAATTATTATTAAAGCAGCAGCTTTGTGATATAGCACAGTCATCTTCATTTCTTTACCTAAGAATCCAGCTCTGAGTATCAAGGTTATATCATCATTAAAATATACTGTTTTGCAATCTAAGCATGACTTAAAATTTGCAAAGAAGTTCCCAGGTTAGTTAATATAAGTGGTTTCCACATCGTTAGTAAAATGGACAAATTTCACCCAAGCCAAATGACTCTATCTTAATACATGTAGGTTTGTAGCTGATATATTATAAACACAGCAATATATATAAATACTAGAGGCCCAATGCACAAATTTGTGCATGGGTGGGGTCCGTTGGCCTGGCCAGTGATGGGAACCAATTGGGCTGTCTCATCCAGTCCCAGGGGAAGGAACCACAGGAGGTTGGCTGGCCGTGGGAGATTGGCTGTGTAGTGCACTGACCACCAAGGGGCAGCTCCTGCATTGAGTGTCTGCCCCCTGAAGGTCAGTGAGCATCATAGAGACCAGTCAACCTGTCGCAATGGTCACTTAGGCTTTTATATATATAGATATTACAGAGTAGTAGGCCTTTGTCATTCAAGGATTTCAAATTTTTAAGATGACTCCAGAGCTCAGTAGGACTTCATTTGGTAAGAGGCACACATATGATTAACATGCTCTGTGAAATGGGTATGCAGGGGGAGGCAGAAAATAACATGGACTGGATGCAGAGTCTATTGTGAAACACAGGTTAAAGGGAAGATATCATTTGTTTTCCTAAAACTGTACTGTTCCTCTCTGCAAAAACTCAAGTAACTTTCTAAACATGAATTCTTTTGTCACCATATGGCTTATAACTGCCAGATGGTACATTTTTTGTTTGCTTTTTAGTACTCAAACTTCCTGTTCAAGATGATATTTTGCTTATAAAGCCTGCACTAAAGATCTAGTCTATTTAATCTATAGCTGTTAAAAAGTAAAGTTAAAGGATATTTGTAAGTGTGCATATGTATATATGTATGTACATGAATACTATATGTATATTTAGTTTATAGGCTCAAAAGATACCATTTTAATTGTTTCCATTTATACCTCCCTGGCATGGTGGTGCGGTGATAATGGAAAGAGAGGCAGGGAAAGTGACATAATTTGTGGAATTCAGTGCAAAGTAAAAATGTGGGGGTTTTTGCTTAAGAATTATTAAGAATTTCAAGACAATAAGAATGAAGTACCCAGTCACCTGCAGGACCTTCCTAAACTGCACAGTAGCACATCCATAAAGTAGGTCCCAAAGAGAGGAGACTACAATTCTGTGGTTAGCTCCACACTGCTCACTCTAGGCAAAATGCCCCCAAAATTTATATTAAAAATTCCCAGTTAGATTGCTATTCAAGAGAAAGTCTATTTAAAAAAAATATAGAGAGCGTATTGCCAAACTGGTATGGCTCAGTGGTTGAGTGTCAATCTATGAACCAGGATTCCTGATCAGGGCACATGCCTGGGTTGTGGGCTCGGTCCCCAGGGAGGAGCATGCAGGAGGCAGCTGATTAATGATTCTCTCTCATCATTGATGTAAATTAAAAGTATAATTAATAATATAGTCTACAGAAGAACTGAAAAATAAAACTGAAAAATCTTCCAAAACAAAGAAGAAAAAATATAAATAATAAATGAAGGGAGGAATAAAAGTCAGAGGACCAATCTGGGAACTTTAACATCTAACTAATGAGAGAACAGAAAAATGGAAGAAATAAATTATCTTAAAAATAATAGAAGGGGATTCTCTGTACTGTATAAAGGATACAAAATTTTTTAAAGAAAGGGGCCACTGAGTGAAGAGCTAAGTAAATGAAATAAAAGCTATTTCCCACATGTTCCTATGACACTTCAGAATGTTAAGGATTCAAAAACAGATCCTAAAATGTGGAGGCCAAAAGACAATAAAGGAATACAAAGGAATTTATCAGAGTAAAAGCTCTTCAACCTAGAATTATATAACCAGCTAAACTATTTTTTCCCTGTCCATGTACTTATTTATTCATACCTGAGTTAAGTCAAACTATTAGAAATAAAGTGACATTTGTGAAATCTTATGCAGAATATAAAATCAAAGATAAATGTGCATTGAGCTTTGATTCATACTTACAATATCTTTAAACTAGACAAGACATCAGGAGACACATGTGAGTTAACACCTGCTCTCTGCAACATACTAACCAGCTAAAATATTAATCAAACATGACGGTGTAAGAAGGTACTTTAGGATATGCAAGGACTTAAATAGTGAACTTCCCTCTTTGGAGGAAGTTATTGAGGCAGTTCAACAAAACTAAACAGTGAGATAATAAAAACACAAAGAATCCAGAAAACAGTTCTCAACCCAGACAGTCGAGAAGGCAAGTTCCAGGGTAACAGCTATACATGATTTAAAATATCCAGAGAGCAACTGGTACATATTATAGACAAAGGCCTCTGGAGCTGTCAGATAACAGAGCGAGATGGGCTGGACCTGCCCTGGAGCCCTCCTGTGGTCCCTCTTCGGCTGGCCAACCCTCTGCATCCCTCCCCAATCACAATCGTGCACTGGTGGGGTCTCTTGAGGAGTCCTCCAGGGATGTCAAAGAGCCGGTAGCAGCCTGATCCTGCAGGCCAGGCTGAGAGACCTCACTGGTGCACAAATTCGTGCACTGGGTCTCTAATATATGTGTGTGTGTGTGTGTGTGTGTGTGTGTGTGTGTATATATATATATATATATATATATATATATATATATATATATATAAAGATATCCTTTTAAAATATTTTTTAGTAACACCCTTCTTAATTTAATTGGCCTTGGAGCAATTCCTAATAGGGAAAGAGTAAAAGATTAGGAGAATAACTCCCCCCAACCCCCCATTTTAAAAAAGGGAAACAGTTGGAGGCAGGTAGGTTTAAAATTAAATACTTTATTTTTGCATTCTGCTATATCTTATCATGAGATAAAAAGATCAATATAATTTTTTCTATTTTTTTTATTATTTTACTTTTATTCTTTTATTTGTACAAAAAAAACTACTCCATTCACATTTTAACAGTTCTATTACTTTTGAATATACCTAAAGAGAGCATGACATTCCACAATAATCTCTAGTCTTTGTATTCCTCATCTGAAGAACCCAATGTTTCAGCTTATTCACAATCAAATGTCCCCGTTATATGTTTTTTTGGGGGGTTAATGTTTCATCAATGGATTGTTCAAGATTTCATAAACTATAACTATATTTCAGGATAAAACAATGCTCCTATTTTAGTTTTAATCTCTGGCCTAAAAATATCCAATAATTTCTTGGCCTTTTCTAATTGGAAAAGCCATTGATTACATTGACTTTTATGAAAATTTCTTCTATTAGAGTTTATTTATATTTCAGTCTATACTGTCAATTTCACAATTTTATTTTGGTTTTGCTGGGAAGAGAGTTATAGATATTTTTATTAAAAAGCAAAACAAACTAAAACTTTAAACAACTGTATAAGTTAGTATTTTCATGAATTAATATATAATAATGGAAGAAAAAATATATTCTAGCTGGGAAGTTGATTTAAACAAGTAGACATCAAACTAAAATTGAATTCTAAAATATATTTCAGTAAGCAAAATTATAAATTTTTGAAAGAATTTTATACTTACAGGCAAATGAGTAAACACTTGAAAGATGCTTCTCAAAAAATTAATAAGATCCATTAAATAGCCACTAGCTCTTCCATCTGGCTCAGACATTGTCCAGTCATAATCAGCAAGCTGAACAAATTCATCAATTTTTTGATTAAGTTTGGTATATATTTCTCCTTCTGCTGCATGCCGGGCATCCTGACAAAGGACAAAATAACAACAAACAAGAAATATTTATAGAAGCAGATAATAAGTTTTCTTAAATTCTAAATTTTGTTTTATACTTTTCTTTGGTCTAATAATTTAATCATTTATTCAGATACTAGAGGCCCAGTACACGAATTCATGCACCAGTGCGGTCCCTTGGACTGGCCTGTGGGATTGGGCTAAAACCAGCTCTCCAATATCCCCTGAGGGTCCTGGAATGCAAGAAGGTGCAGGCCAGGCTGAAGGACCCAAACAGTGCAAAGCAATTCAGGAGGTTGGCCAGCCAGGGAAGGACCATAGGAGGGCTCCAGGGCATGTCCGGCCCATCTTGCTCAGTCCCGATCCACCAAACCCCAATAGCAAGCTAACCTACCAGTCGGAGCATCTGTCTCCTAGTGGTCAGTGTATGTCATAGCAAGTGGTCAATTGTCTGCCACCTGGTGGTCAGTGCACATCATAGTGAATGGTTGAGCATCCTTAGCATATCATTAGCATATTATACTTTGGTCAACCAGACACTTAGCATATTAGGCTTTTATTATATAGGATTAGACCATTTACTAGTCTAATATTTTAGTCATTTATTCAAACTACTGCTTGTTGGCTGGAAGTACTCTCTTGTGTGTGTGTTTTTTAACATATTTTTATTGATTCAGGCATGTGCCCTTGACCAGAACCAAACTTGGAAGCCTTCAGTCCACAGGCCAACACTCTAGCCACTGAACCAGTTAGGGCAACAAATAATTCTCTTGTAAATATTTTCCCCCAGTCTGTAGTTTGTTCTCTTATTCTCTGATGATGTCTTTTTACAGAACAAGTTGTAATTTTAACAAAATCCAACTGATAATTATGTCCCTCATGGATCATGCCTTTGGTGTGGTAGCTAAAAAGTCACTGCTAGTCAAGGTCATCCAGATATTCTCTAATGTTAATTTCTTGGAATTTTATAATTTTGCACTTTACATCTAGTTTTAGATCCACTTTGACTTAATTTTTGTAAATGTTGTAAGGTCTGTATCTAGATTTATTTCTTTGCATGTGAATACTCAGTTGCTCCAGCACCACTTGTTGAAAAGACTATCTTTGGTCCATTGTACTGCCTTTGTTGCTTTGCAAAGATCAGTTAAATATATTTATTTGGGTCTATTTCTGGGCTCTCTAGCCAATCCCATTGATCTATGTGTCTGTTTTTTTTTTTGGCCAGTACCACACTGTCTGTATAATAATAAATCCTAAAGTCAGGTGTATCAGTCTTCCAACTTGTTCTTCTTCTTCAATACTGTGTTGGCTATTCTGGGGCTTTTGCCTCTCCATATGAACTTTAGAATTACTTTGTTGATATCCACAAAATAACTTGCTGAGATTCTGATGAGGATGCATTGAATCTGTCCTTTTATAAATTATACATGTTCATATGTATATATTACAGGTCAATGAGAACATTTTTAAAAGTACATGTACTAAGTCTCTACCTTCATAGAAAGAGAATTTCAAGTCCTTAAAGACAATTTACCACTGTCACTTTAGTCATAGCCTAAAAAAAGCTTTGTTAATAGTAATCAATAGGTGTGAAAAGGACAAATTAGGAAAAAAATCGGAAGCATATACCTTCTTACTCCCACAGTGGTAATCACTGCCAGTACTCAAAGGGAAAGGACTCTGCAGAGTGGCAGGTTGGAAAGGAGCTCTGATGCCAAAGAAAAAGAAGGGTACATTTCTCTACTACACAGATTAAAAAGGGAATGGTATTTCTGTTTCCCCCCTCTATTCTGATGCAAATCTTTTCAGTTAGAAGTCTTATATAAGTCTCAAATAGCTCTCAGTGTGGGTCCAGATTAATTTTAAAAAGCTCCGGTACTGCTTGAGGGCAGAAATTACTTACTTTACCTCTTTTGTATCACTCATAGGTTTAGCAACATGAAAAGGCAAATTTATAAGATAATCTATTTATTTCATAAGATAAATATGATATAAATCAAGGACTTTGTGTGTGCACGTGTGCTTGGAGGGGAAGTAAAAAGGAAGCAGAGGTAAAAGGATCCTGGAAGTGCTTATTCTCATAATCATTAAGCAACTAAATAAGAATATTTGGTAGAGTCCCTAGACTGAAAAGCATTTTGCTAAGAGGTTAACTAAGCAATCCATGCTAATGTCTGCAATCACTTTAATCTTCTCTGTGAAAGAGGCAAGAGACTAACTATTCACTATGAATGAAAATTCCCCCATCTCCCTCTGCAATTCACTTTAATATTGATTTAACAACTTTTGATGTTGAATTGCTTCCTCATATCATAGGTTAAGACAAATTCCTCTTGAATTAGACCAAAGGAAGAACTGAAGAATACTTTCCCTTCAAATGCTGAGCTTAAAACAGTTCTTGTTCTCACAGAACAGAAAGGTTTCCTGAGTTCTATGTGAAAATAAAACAAACAACAAAAATAACTAGGATACTCTACTATTTATAAAGGCTCTATTTGATTTCTGGATTTCCAAGAAAACCAAGAAATATTCTATGGCAATTGTGGTTTCAACCAAATATCTACAACTTAAAAGAACACTGGGATGATGGACCAACAATAACATGTCTAAACATTCCCTCCCAATAGAAAGATTCTGAGAAGTGTTGTTCCAAGATCCCTCAGTCTAAGATATCATGTTGCAGTATCTTTGGTTCTGTGAGTCATAACTGATAAGGAAATTGCTTGAAGAATCCTAGATGCACCAGATGTCAAGACAATACATGTTTTAATCAGAGTACAGAGTAAGCCTATTAAATTTAATGTTAACAGTTAAATATGCTTATAACTCTAGTCCTTAGTGATTTCCTTCTTGACAGCCTATGAGTAACACATGGACATAAGGATGGCGATCAATAAAGAAAAAGAAAGATTGTATAAAACTTGATATAAAAGCAAAGAACCAATTTGTCCTTGGATAAATAAGTGTTCAAAACCTTGTGGAGTGTTCTTCTATTTATGATACTTATCACATCATATCGTCAAGTATCTTTTTATAGTTTAATAGAGGCCCGATGCATGAATTCATGCACCAGTGGGATCCTTCAGCAATCAAGCTGAAACCAGGTCTCCAACATCCCCCAAGGAGTCTTGGATTGTGAGAAGGCACAGGCCACGCCAAAGGACCCCACAGGTGCACAATCGGGGCAGAGAGGGATACAGGAGGTTGACCAGCTGGGAAGGGAGCACGGGAGGGTTCCAAGGAGCATCCAGCCCATCTCACTCAATCCCGATCAGACAGACCTCAGCAGCAAGTTCACCTACTGATTGGAGCGCCTGCCCTCTGGTGGTCAGTGCACATCAAAGCAAGTGCTTGAGTGGCCTTAGCATATATCATTAGCGTATTAAATTTTGATTGGTTGGACAGCCGACTGGTCAGCCAGATACTTAGCATATTAGATCTTTATTTATAGGCTTCTCCTATGAGCTCCTTAAAGGGTAGGGATACATTTTTACATTCTCATTACCTAATAGTATGCTCAGAGCATAGATGATGTACAACAAGTGGAACTGTGCTAAGTATCCCCTTTAATCCTCATAACAATTGGATAAAGTCAATAACATAGGATATCCAAAAAAATGTATACACATACTTTCAATAGTTATAAAGGCAGTGTTTATCAAAATACATTTCATTTTCAAAATTGAGTTATCAGCTGTTAAAGTATATATACATTTTTGAGACACCCTATATATTGCTACTCTAATTTTATAGATAACAAAACTAGGAATCATTAAAATTAAAAAATGTGCCCAAGTTATATAGCTGTCTAACTCCAGAATAAATGCCCTTAATCACTGTACTTATCCTATCTAGATAAATGAATATCTGTATTATCTACCTTCTGTTTCAGTTTTAATAACTAATTCTACAAAAGTGCTCACTCAGGTATTATCTGCATTTGTGCTTTCTGGATCAGGATGACTACATGAGCCCAAGAATCACCAAAGGAGGATAGAATTTGGGGGCCATGCAGATAATCTGAGGAACCAAGCATCATTTCTGAACTTTCAAAGTCTGGTTACTGTTAATTAGTTATTTCTAAATACAAGTAGACTGAATTTTCAAAGTATAAGTGATTATACCATAATTTTAGGAGATAAACTGGGTAATTTATAATATAGCAAAAATAGAAAGATAAGAGTTCTTTTCAATAGAAAACTTAGAAAGGGCTGTGAGGTTAAACTAGCAAGCATGTTTTACAGATAAGGGATCAGTAAGTAGTTTATGTTAGGTTAGTACAACACTCAGTGCAAAGAGATTTATATTTTAAGACTACTCCAGTGTCTTATCTATATGACCGCAAACCAATACAATCTAAAACAGTTTATAAAACCAATTTATGAAAGTATTTAATCTTCCATTCTGTTTAAAACAACCATTAATTTATCTTTCAGTATATCCCATGGTATTACACAAACAGAAATCTTTTCATTCATATAAAAGCAGGACTTCAATAATATGTAATATACTTCTTTTTCTTCACATCAGAGCCAATTAAGGATGTAAAACAAATCTTACTAATTCATCTTACATTTCTAACTAATTCATCTTACATTTTAAATTTCTAAACGAATACATATACACATTACACTAACAAATTATTTATTGGACTGTGAGACATTAATGGAAATTCAGTGAGACTACTATAGCACTACTAAAAGTCTTCAAAACATAAATAAAATCAATGATGACTTTTCTCCATATTAATAAGACAAGTGGCCTAGTGCACTAAATTTGCCACTTAAGGGCGGGGCGGGGGGGAGGAGGAGGAGTCCCCCAGCCTGAAAAGGAGAGAGTGCTTGAATTAATGAGGAAAGAAATGAAAGAAATGAAGGGTCCTGTGCCCTGTCACAGTGCAGGAGCCCTGCGATCCATTGCCCCAAAGAGGTAGGCCTCTGCAAGCCTCACATCCCCGGGCCTGGCGCTGGGGACAGGGACAAGATCCTCACACAAATCCCTGACACTGCAAGTCCCCGCCCAACCACTCCTGCTGCGCACACAGCCTCCTGCTGATCAATCATTACAAATGAGGGCATCACGACCATTTGCATATTAGCTCTTTATTATTTAGATGTTTAAAATGCCAAAAGGAAACTGACATCTATCTGCTTACTGCTGACAATGATTACCTCTAATTTTCAAGTGTTAGGAATATAATAAAATCATGTATATAATAAAAATTGTCTTTAATTTTTAAAAGTCTGCTTACAGTGATTGCAATAAAAACTCTGGTCAGATTTTCACATACCTTAAAAGTAGAAAGTCCATAAAGTCTTGTCGTATGAACAGTTTCTTGAGAAATATTTGTAATGTTAGTTATAAAGTCCTCAAGGTATTTGCAAGCTTGTTCCAGGTGTGTTGTGTTTATGATGATTTGCACTAGCTAGAAAATACAAAATACATCCGGTAAAATTATGTTACATGTACACAAAGCCATTTGATTTTTTAAACCAGGATTATTGCTTCCAGTAACTGTACCATTTATGCATAATTATAGCATTACAGGATACAACTGATTATGTGAGTTCAAGTCTACTACAAATACTGCTTATGAATACTATCATTAAAAATAAAAGTCTAGCCAAAACCAGTTTGGCTCAGTGAATAGAGTGTCGGCCTGCGGACTGAAAGGTCCTGGGTTTGATTCCGGTCAAGAGTATGTACACTGGTTGCAGGCGCATCCCCAGTAGGGGGTGTGCAAGAGGCAGCTGATTGATGATTCTCTCTCATCGATGTTTCTAGCTTTCTATCCTTCTCTCTTCCTCTCTGTAAAAACTCAATAAAATATATTTAAAATAATAATAATAATAAAATAAAAGTCCAACTGTGAATTAATCCAAAATAATGTTTCAAAGTACTTTTTCAAACTTTATGCATTTACCATGTAGAAAAATATTTTCATTTTTCATGTAAGGTCTGGCAATAGTACCTGCATATACTAGTACATTCCAACGTCTTCAACTACTGTAGCCACTCCTTATTTGCAGGGCATATGTTCCAATACGTTAGTGGATTCCTAAAACCATAAATAGTACTGAACCCTATATATACTATGTTTTTTCCTACACAATATTTATACCTGTGATAAAGTTTAATTTATAAATTAGGCACACTAAGATATTAACACCAGTAATAATAAAATAGAACAATTATGCCCTAGCCGATTTGGCTCAGTGGAAAGAGCATCGGCCTGGGGACTGAAGGGTCCTGGGTTTGAATGCGGTCAAGGGCATGTACCACCTTGTAGGCTCACCCCTGGCCCTGGTTGTGTAGAGGCAAAGCAATCAATGTGTCTCTGTCACATCAATGTTTTTCTCTCTCCCTTCCACTCTCTAAAAATCAATGGAAAAATATCCTCAGATGAGGATTAACAAAATAAAAATAGAAAAATTGTAAGAATATACTGTCATAAAAGTTATGTGAATGTGGTCACTGATTTCAGGGGATCCCTTGCTGAAGTATTTTTATTCTAAAAGATTCAATATTTTCTGGCACAAACATTGCTGTAAATTGGAATGTGTTTTCTGTTCATGCTTCCCATCCACAAATTTAATGCCTTGTCCGTCTTAATTTATCAAGCATTGTGGCCTCAACTTTTCCAGTTTAAGGTGCAACAGCAAAACTAGCACATATTTCTCTCTCCTTCTTCACAATTTCACAGACAGAAGATTGGTTCTTACCCTAGAGCTTAGCAACCTCAGCATACAATTGTTTTTCTTTCCTCATTAATTCAAGCACTCTCTCCTTTTCATTTAAAGGAAGCACTTTACGGCTTTTCTTTGGCACATCTGAATTGCCAGCATCTCTACTCAAAACAGTGTGCAAAACTTAGGACTTGTTTATGGAATTATTTTGGGAATTATCCATTTAATGTTTTTGAACTGCAGTTGATCAGAAATAACTGAAACCGTGAGTATGGAGAAGCTATTGTTTCTATTTCCTGTGTAAAAATTCATCTTCTTCACATTGCATAAATTATGTTGACTTTTTTATTTTTAAACAAATCCACTTTGTTAATAAATTTAAAATAGAAAGCTAGTTTTACAGGATGCCATGCAGTGAAACGTTTAGATATAAACCTACCTCTGTCAAACCTATATGAGGTTTCCTAATAAGGTTCAGTAAACAGCTATTCAAAGTTCTGGTCAGCAGCAGATTTGTAGATTTTCTAAGCATATCATCTATTTCTGTTGAGCTAAAAACAAAATTTGGTATTATTAAGCTTTCTGACAATTCAGCACTATTGACATTTTAGGCCAGATAATTATTTGTTGTGGGCTGTCGTGTGCATTGCAGAATATTTAGCAGCATCCCTGGCCTTTACTCACTAACCCAAAATGCCTCTACACATTGCTAGACGCCTACTAGGGAGCAAAATTACCCCATTTGAGAACCACTGCCTTAAACATAGACAAACATTTTAGCACTACTTTACTTTTTATTTTATTAAAATATTACTCTTACAAATCTATAAAGCACAAATATTTATATTAGTTTATGTTTATTTTTAAACATATTATTTTTAATATGCAAATAGAGCAAGATTCGATAAAGCATAGGTACTTCTCACTACTACTATAATGTTCTCCATTCTAATGCAAGCACTTTTTAATTTCTGCCAGCCCAAATTCTGGCAGATCTGAGTATTTTCCTCTAATTCTTTATATCTAAGATCAAAATGAATGTGCCACCAGAAGAGCTTCATGGTGATTTGGCATCAGACTCTCAGAAAATTCTAATATGTCAATAGTGTCCCTAAACAAGCAATGTATTCACCCTGATAAAAACAAGGCGGCTGCAAATTCCTCACATTCAAATTATACTTAAAGAAATCCTCTATAACATTCTTCTCAGATTAAAATACTTGTAAATGAAAGGGAGAAATTGTTAATCTATCATGATAGATGATGTCTTTCCTTTAATTTCCCTGAACTTCCTTGAATGTTAAGTCAATGCATGTTTTCTCTTCTGTAAGTAAAAGCAGAGAAAGAAAACCTGTCAGTATCTATTGTATTATTTGTGCTAGCAAGATTTACCTGACAATAACCAGTATTTCCCCCATGAGGTTTTTATCCTAATTGACCATTTTTTCCCTTAACCCCTTGTCCTTTGAGCCTAGAAATTGTACTCATCTTTTTTATAGAATACTTCACAATAATAAAATCTTAATATGTAGTAAAACTCCTAAAATATTTTACAGTTTAACCTCTTATGAAAACGGCAAATTTCTTAAAGATCATATTAGTTACAAATGTTTCCTCTACAACTATTCATTGTATGTCTATTCATTAAGTCACTTTCATTCTCTGGCCTGCTTTTATTCATATTTAGAACATATATAGTACCTTTGTACTATAAAAGCTCTTAAGTACCTTCTAGTTCTAAAAATCTAACTCCAAAATATGTTTTAAACATAGGCAAGCAGACTAAATGATTCCAAGTTAGATTTCGGTCAAGGGCACATGTCTGAGTTGTGGTCTCGATGCCCAGTAGGAGGCATTGCAGGAGGCAGCTGATCAGTGATTCTCTCTCATCATTGATGTTTCAATCTCTCTCTCCCTCTCCCTTCCTCTCTGAAATAAAAAATATTTAAAAAAAAAAAAAAAGAAAGAAAGGAAGGAAGGAAGGAGGAAGGAAGGAAGGAAGGAAGGAAGGAAGGAAGGAAGGAAGGAAGGAAGGAAGGAAGGAAGGAAGGAAGGAAGGAAGGAAGGAAGGAAGGAAGGAAGGAAGGAAGGAAGGAAGGAAGGAAAGAAAGAAAGAAAGAAAGAAGAAGAAAGAAAGAAAGAAAGAAAGAAAGAAAGAAAGAAAGAAAGAAAGAAAGAAAGAAAGAAAGAAAGAAAGAAAGAAAGAAAGAAAGAAAGAAAGAAAGAAAGAAAGAAAGAAAGAAAGGAAAGAAAGAAGGAAAGAAAGAAAGAAAGAAAGAAAGAAAGAAAGAAAGAAAGAAAGAAAGAAAGAAAGAAAGAAAGAAAGAAAGAAAGAAAGAAGGAAAGAAAGAAGGAAAGAAAGAAAGAAAGAAAGAAAGAAAGAAAGAAAGAAAGAAAGAAAGAAAGAAAGAAAGAAAGAAAGAAAGAAAGAAATTTTTTAAAGTATCCCTACTTACAGGAAAAAGCAGTGTAAAACCTAAGAACAGAAACCTTCTTACCCTGGCAGAATACACATTTCTTTTTCCCATGTATTTAAATATTGTTTAAATCCCAAAGCAATAATAATTACAATAAGAGACACAGGAACAACAAATTATAATTTTAAAACTATTATTATTCTCACTGTTTCAACTTCAAAAATAAGTAATTCATATCTGTACTGCATTTATGGCTTTTTCTGACTTAAAATTCAAAAGCATTTAACACTGAAGGGTATTTCCTGCTATTCAGTATACAAATTCAAAAGAACAGATTTCAGAGAGGGAGACATTATGAAAGCCAGCATCACCAATCTCTCCTCTAGAGAGTATTCACATTAGAAATGTATGTTCTTTTATGTCAGAAATTTTCACTGATATATCAGATTTATAACAACTTAATCCCATGTGTCAATGAAATAATAATCCACTAAAGAGTCATGGCCTGGAAATCAAGTGTTAATGTTTCACATAAGTAGCTATGATAAGGATACATTTCTTACTAGTAAACTTACCTCCGGTGCAGTGACTCTGAAAATTTAAGGCTGGCATAAATAAATTCTTTAACTTGAATGTAAATATGAGGCACTGACTGAGACATGGGAAATTTCTTTGGGAAAGATTGCTGTAGAAAGAAAAAATTAATGCTGTTTTCGAAATTTTAGAAAAAGGCATCTTAATCACCTAAGAATGTAAAAATTAAATTGACTGCATATTTGAATTAACAATAAATACCTGCATCTTAAAGACATTAAGAATTTATTTTAATGACATTAAAGACAGAATATAAATATGTCCTTATTTCAGCCAAAATGTTCTAATCAAATTATCAAAAGACTGATTTTGCACATATGTTCAATCTTACTCTTTTCTCACTCATAATTTACACTGAAAATAACTCAAGTCATTTGAGAGAGTTCACATCTTTCCTAACAGTTTTAATTTAAAAATACTTAAATTAGGAAAAGAATATATACACACAACCAAGAGATTATTACTAAATAATTTATGGGATTTCTTTATAAGCTGTCAAATTTAAATTTTCCACATTGCCTTTACCTTAACAGTACAACTTCTTTTTAATGATAATATATGGACCAATAAATACAACTCCTAACAAATGTAATCCTACTGTACAAGCTAAGTCAGACATCCTTTTAACTATAAACCTAATTAGAATACTTTAGTGTAATTAGAAGAATATTGGAGATTATTTAGTTTAACCTCCTCACTTCACAGATGAGCCACAAATAGGGTAAGTCACTTGCCCATAATAAGCCACAGGCAGAGCTGGTATATGAACCCAGACCATGGAGATACTACAGCCTGAATAAACTTTATTACCAATAACCAAAACTAAACAAAACCAAGCCAGGAGATGGAGAATACTTTGTTCATTGTAAAGGGATAACATTGTAAAGGAACAACTTTGATTGGGAACTTAAAGATATTGATTGAGCCTGGCTGGCATGAACTCTGAGCTATGAATCAAGAGGTCACGGTTTGATTCTGGTCAGGGCACATGCCCAGGTTGTAGGAAGCAGCTGACCAGTGATTCTCATCACTGAGGTTTCTATATCTCTCTCCCTCTCCTTTCCTCTCTGAAATCAATAAAAATGTTAAAAATATTTTTAATATATTTTTTATTGATTTTTTACAGAGAGGAAGAGAGAGGGATAGAGAGTTAGAAATATCGATGAGAAAGAATCATCGACCAGCTGCCTCTTGCACACCTCCTACTGGGGATGTGCCCGCAACCATGTACATGCCCTTGACCGGAATTGAACCCGGGACCTTTCAGTCCGCAGGCCGACGCTCTATCCACCGAGCCAAACCGGTTTCAATAAAAATGTTAAAAATAATAATAATAAAATAAAAATCAAATTTAAAAAAATGTATCGGCTGAGAATAATTATCCTGGTCTTTTGTGTGAATTAGAATCTATCTATTGCAATGGCAGGGTTATACAATGTCAGTGTTAGCTGTAATTTAAAAGCTATGCAATGTCAGTGTTAGCTGTAACTTAAAAGCTATGCATTTAATTACTTGGTCCTATATTTAGTGACTATTACACATAATATGCTTAGTTTATATACATAAAAATATGACATAAAATTTATAATCGCCATTCACACATTTTACTCAGAATTCACTTCTGTTCATTGTAAAGGGATAAGAACATAGAAAATGACTAAATTATAAAGAGTTGAAAAAATAATAAAGAATGGTAAGGAGAAAAAATAACAAGAATAAAGGTAATAAAAAGGTGACAATTATAGAAAATATGATACCCTTTTCCCTTGAGTTCTGATTCTACCTAGAAATACTAGATAGGTACAGTATGTATGTTTGTGTGTGTATACACACATGTGCAATAATATGCACAGTAGTCCCAGAATACTCTACATGCTGGTGTATTTCCTTTCTGTATCGTGTCTTTTATTCACACATTTGATTTCAAAAATACATATTCCTACTTAAGGAAAGAAATAGACATGTGGCTACTGCCTTCACTCTTACTTAACCAAGATTAATTTTTTGTAGAAGTACATTTCTAGTAAAAAAAAAAAACACACACACAAAAGATCTTCAACAGTGATAGACATTTCAACGAAATACTCCTCTTTCCCCCTGGAATATACTTATTCCTATAGTTTACTTAACATTTAATATATCTAATTTGGAATCCACCCAACATTAGCAACACCTGCCCAGAGAAACCACCTAACATTTGGGACAACTGTTGCTAGTATCCCCAGGAAAGTCCCTTCTTAACTTCACCAAAACAGTAACAGTCATAGTAGTAACATAATCTTTAACAAAACATAATTTTCTTAAATAACACAACAAAAAAAATGCCTCAGTAAAATACATTCTCACTTACAGTGTCAGATTAATATTCTGTAGCAATAAATACCCTAAGTTTATTTTCAAGAAAATTCTTGAATTAAAAACTAGCTTGTACCTTTTCAAGGTCTGGATCTTGAAAGGGAAATTTACTGATGACTATTTTATATTCTTCTTCATTCGTAATAGGGATGGGGCTATAATTATCTTCTTCAAAAATGTCCCTGTTAAAAAAAGGAGAGGGAATTGAACTATCATTAGAGTGCTGAAGGACAATATTTTTTTTAATTAACAACTATTACCAAAGCATTTTTAAAATTGATTTCAGAGAGAAGAAAGGAGAAGGAGAGGGAGAGAAAAAAACATCAATGATGAAAGAGAATAACCAATTGGCTGCCTCCTGCATGACCTCTATTTCCAAAATACTAAATATAAAAATTTGTTGATACTTATACATGATTCATCAAGCCTGTCATACCCATTTGAGATAACACTGTTCCAATATCGCTCCTAAGAAATGTTATTACTAAAAGTTTAAATGAGGATTTTTTATTGAGTGTTAATAAAAATCACCTTGTTCACTTAGATATTATAAAAAGTAAGACTTATGTCATAGTATTCATAATGTCTGCCATCTAGTTTTAAAAATTGATGGGGTAGCCAAAGCCGGGTTGGCTCAGTGGTAGAGCGTCGGTCTGCGGACTGAAAGGTCCTGGGTTCGATTCCGGTCAGGGGCATGTGCCTTGGTTGCGGGCACATCCCCGGTGGGGGGTGTGCAGGAGGCAGCTGGTCGATGTCTCTCTCTCATCGACGTTTCTGGCTCTCTATCTCTCTCCCTTTCTCTCTGTTAAAAATCAATAAAAATATATTTTTTTAAAAAAATTGATGGGGTAAATGCCAAGCTGGGATAAATAGCTTAACATATTCTCTAGTTTAATTTCATCAAATATTATTGACACATAACTTCTATCATATTATGGATGACCTGGATCTAAGATCTCATGATTGACTTTTTTTTTTCTTTTTCCCCAAGTGAAGGAAGAAAGAAAAAGAAGGAAGGAGAGAGGGGAAAATGGTGGAAGGAAAGGAAGCTTTTAGAATTTAAAAAGAAGGGGAATTTTTATTTTTTTCATGGCAATAGAAATTATATAGATACTAGAGGCCCAGGGCATGAAATTCATGCACCTGGAGGCGGGGGTACCTCAGCCCGGACTTCACCTTCTCGCAGTCCAGGAGCCCTCATAAGTACATAAATGTACTTTATGCCACTAAATGTACATTTCTAAAAGGTTAAAATGGTAAATTTTTGTTATGTATATTTTACTACAATAAAAAGTTATTATAAGCATTTTTATTGCTAAACACAAAATTAATTACTTTAGCATTTGACAATCTTTTTCACCACATTAAGGCACCATGGCTCAGACTAACCTGAAAACTGTAGCCCATTTCTTAAGCAGTGTTTCATTGTATTGATCTCTTATTTCAAATAAAAGGTCAAAAAGCCGGTTCACTGGAAAACCATAACCCTAAAACACACACATAAAAAACAGATAGACATTAATTTTTAAAATATTCATTTTTAAATGAAACTATTCATTGTTTTTAAATGTTGGAAAACTGGAGAATTTTTTAAAAGTAACCATTTACTATATCACATTATATGCCATTCCAACTGTATGGAAAAAAAAAAGATATTCTTTTGACTCTCTATTACAATAGGTTGCATTAAGTAAGAAAGAAACTAGACAGAGTTTTATGAAGCTGGAATAATTTTGCCATTTCTTCTCTCTCTCTCTCTCTCTCTCTCTCTCTCTCTCTCTCTCTCTCTTTACTCTGGATTTCTTGGTTAACCTTAAAAAGTATCAGAAGTCAGACTGGTGAAAAAGTTCAAGATTATCTAAATAACTATGTCTTGAGAAGTGGTCCCTAAATAGGATACAAGAAAAGGGAATATATGCTGTATAAAACATGCTCGCTTCCTTTTGCACCTTCAATGTTAGAGTGACTCTGTTGCATAGAGGAATTTTGCATCTTTTCCTCAAACATACTCTCCAAAACTATTTCTTTCCAACTTCAAATTCATTGAAATCTTACCTATATCAGGATCAAACATTTTCACTCATCTCACAGAGCCATCAAGGTTTACCTCTTCATCTGAGTTCTTGATCCTATCTCATCCTGTTAGAACCACGGATTATTTATTCACTCTATTATGTCTTTAACTTCCACAAGCGAGCAGCGCTCCTTTCTCTTGGCTAAATAAATATGCTAAATCACCTCTCATCTTTAAATCAAGAACAGAAGGAAAAAGCCCAGCCAGCTGCCTCCCTGTTACTCCTTTCATAGCCAAACCCTACAATAATCTAATTCCCATTCCCATTTCTGTATTAAAGCTGCTCTCAAAATGACACAGATTACCTCCCAAATATAAAATTAAATTATTGCCGAAACTGGTTGGGCTCAGTGGTGGAGCATCGGTCTGCGGACTAAAAGGTCCCGGGTTCTATTCCGGTCAAGGGCATGTACGTTGGTTGCGGGCACATCCCCAGTAGGGGATGTGCAGGAGGCGGCTGGTTGATGTTTCTCTTTCATCGACATTTCTGGCTCTCTATCTCTCTGCTTTCCTCTCTTAAAAAATCAATAAAATATACTTTTTAAATTAAATTATTTCACTCTACCTTATCTCTTTTTTCTTGAAATGCTGTTTTGAATTCTACAATACTCTCTCTCCTTATTTTCTTAGCTATAAATTATGTAACTAGTTTCCTTATTTTCTCCTATCTCTATCCCTCAATCTTTTCTTCTAACTTTCTAGGGCAATCTCACGTCTACTGACTTCAAACACTAGTTTATTATTCTAAATCTGTATCTCTGTAAATTCTATTTATTTCATTCTAACACCTATTAGTCACCTCTAGTCAGTCTGCCAGAAAGTACATTAAAGTTAGCGTATTCCTCCCATTCCAACTAAGCCAAGTGTTTTTCTTATTTCCTATCTCTGTTAATAATTCTATCATCAGTCCAGTTAATCAGGAAAAAAAAACTTGAAAAGAAACATTTCATCAGTCACCAAATTCTTTTGATTTCACCTCCTTTACGAATCTCTTTCAAATCTATCATCCTTCTCCATCATTTACCTTTCTTTCATCCAGAAATATTCCCAATGCCACTGCTTTATTTCATTTTTTTAACATCTCTTGCCTAGACCATTGTAAGAGCTTCCTAAACTGAAATTCCAACCATGTGTCTCAACTCAATCTATTGCCCAAACTCTCAAAGTTATCATTTAAAAGTGTATATCTGATCATGCCATTCCTCTGGTTAAAAACTATAGATGGCCGAAACCGGTTTGGCTCAATGGATAGAGCGTCGGCTTGGGGACTGAAAGGTCCTGAGTTCGATTCCGGTCAAGGGCATGTATCTTGGTTGCGGGCATATCCCCAGCAGGGGGTATGCAAGAGACAGCTGATCGATGACTCTTTCTCATCGATGTTTCTAACTCTATCTCTCTCCCTTCCTCTCTGTAAAAAATCAATAAAATATATTTAAAAAAACAAAACAAAAAAAAACTATAGATGGCTTATTGAAGTCTCACAAGGTGTGCCAGTCTGGGCCAAACTACTTTGTCAGTTTCAGGACCACTATTTTGCCCTTCTGTGCTTATACCCATAGGCTATATATAGTTTCTGACATCATCAAGCTGTTCAACCCACCTCATGCAATGTTCTTTATGAAAAGACCCTCCCCAATTCTTCAACTAATGATTATAACTTGAAAAGCCAGTGTTTACTCATTCAATAAAAGACCCACCTAATGCTCAGCTTGTCAATTTTCAATGAAATTAAAATACTGCAGGATTTCTGAATAAGTAAGGACTGGTATGTCTTCCTGAATCTTATTTCAAAGCTGTAAGATTAGAAAGGTATACTTATGAGGGTTTATGCACCCAAAACTGTGACTTTTTAGTGCCTCTATTACTTGAATGTTATCAATTACTCTTCTTTGATTCTCTGAAGAGTTCCTTGGAATCACATAAATACTCTCTGGATTCAGCTGTACCCAAAGTGCCAGTCTAAGATTAGTTTGTTATGGTTTACAAGGAGATAAGGAGCTTGCACCAGCACATAAATCAATAGGGGAATGCAATGAGCTATCACCTCATGTCTGTTAGAATAGCCATTATAAAAAACACAAGATATAATAAATGCTGAAGTGGATGTGAAGAAAAGGGAACCCTTGTACACTGTTGATGGGATTGTAATTCGGTACAGCCACTATGGAAAATAGCATGAAGGTTCCTCAAAAAAACTAAAAATAGAACCACCATATGATCCGGCAATTCCACTGTCAGGAAATGAAAACACTCAGAAAAGATATCTGCACCCTATGTTCATAGCAGCAGCATTTACAATAGCCAAAAAAATGGAAACAACCTACATGTCCATCAATGAATGAATGGATAATGAAGTTGTGGTATACATATATACAATAGAATATTATTGAGCCATAAAACAATGAGGAAATCATACCATTTGCAACAAGATGGATAGACCTGAGAGTATTATGCTAAGTGAAATAAGATAGACAAAGACAAATACTATATGATCTAACTTATATGTGAATCTAAAAAACCACACACCACAAAATAAAACTCATAGAAAAAGAGACCAGACTTGCGGTTACCAGAAATGGAGGGTAGGATGAGGAGAAAGTGGAGGAAGGTAAGTCAAAAGTTACAAACTTCCAGTTATAAGTACAATATGATGCCTATAACTAACAGTTCTGCATGATTCACAGACAAGAGAGTAAATCCTAGGAGTTCTCATCGCAAAAAGAAAATATTTTCCTTTTTTCTTTTTACTTTCCTTTTTATTGTTTCTACATGAGAAGATGATGTTAGCTGGACCAACTGTTGTAATCATTTCACAACATATATGTAAATTCTATCATCTTGGCTCTATTCTTTAAAATTATATAGTGATGTATGTCAATAACTTCTCAATAAAACTGGAAAAATATAAATCAATGCTGCTACTACCTACATCAAGAAAGTCCTGCTATAAAAAATGCCAATTTAGCTGAACTTTGTAATGTGGTTGTATTTATATTCAGACTAAATGTTCCTTTTTACTATGGATCCATAACAATTTGCAGTCTAGTAATGATTTGCAGGGTGTGATCCCCTGACTAGACTGAATTGCAGAGCATTAAGCATTAGGATAGCAAAATTCCCTGAAGTTACTTAGAGATAGGCCTAAAAAATTAAGGCAGTCTCCAATAAAACTTACCAAAAGTTTTTTGTTTTTTTCCTCCCAGAGATACATTTGCCACAAAATTTATGAAAACAAAACCCCCACATTATTTTGGCCTCTATTATTTATAAGTCATACAAATAATAAAGATATAAAGCAAATAAAATAATTTATTAAAGGAGCTTGTAGAATCTTCTTAGGTTTAAGAATAAATGAGAAAATTATTATTCTAGAATGGAAAGACTCTTGTGATAAAGCTAACGATTTAAATTAGCATTTTCCAAATTATCCTATATAATAAAACCCGAATATGCAAATTGTCCCCTGGACCAGGGGGCAGGGCTGGGTAGCCAACTCCCTGCAGCTCCTCCGCCTGGCCAGCCTTACTCCCAATCAGTCCCACCCCCACCCTGATCAGCGCAGGCCGGTCAGACGCCACCGGGGCATGAATTCATGCACAGGGTCTCTGGTATTTTATAAAGCTTTAAACCTAATAGATGCTATAAGAGAGGAAAAGATTCAATGGTCAAATATATTGAGAAAATGCTGCATAATCACCTTCCTTTTGGAAATGCATAGTATAAATTTGCTGAGAAAAGCTTTTAATGTAAAAGTCTGTTTTATTTTACTTAACATTTCCCAAACATTTTGACCAGAGAAATCTTATCTAGGTAACAACTATTACTACACTTTGGAAAATGCTAGTCTATATTTCATAAAAACATCATTTCAACCATTAAAAAATCACATAAGGTTAAGCCTGAAAACAACATGCAATCAATTCTTTATGATCAGTCACAAAGGAGGAGGGATGAGCTTAAAACTTTGATACTGAAAAATCACAAAGACACTGATTTTTTCAGATAGTTCAATTTTAATCTTAGTTTTAAAAAAAGACTTAAAGAAGTAAAGTGATTTGCTCACAGTCATGGCACATCTGAAATTAGGAAGGAAATGAGTGAATACAACTGTCCAACTATGCGTTTTCATAATTATCACATTTAAAACTCAAAACAATTCTGAAAACTAGTAATAAATCTATTTTCACAAATGAGGATATAGTTTAGAAAACTTATAGATATACAACTATTCACCATCAAAGGCGGAAAATTAACTCAGTGTTTATATGACTTCCAGGGCCCATGATCACTGTCCTAAGGCAGAACTTGTATCTCCTAATTTCTAGTACAGAGTTCTTTCTACTGCACCATGTTTTTTGTTTGTTTGCTTGTTTGTTTTAAAATAAAGTTGCTAGATTGTTTTATTTTTTAATATTTTTAAGAGTGATTTTTGAGAGAGAGAGGGAGGAAGAGGGAGGGAGAGAAGAAAAACATCACTGTGAGAGCAAAACATTGATGGCTGCCTCCAGTATGTCCTCTTTGGGGGATCAAGCCCGCAACCCAGGCATGCGCCCTGACTGGGAATCGAACAGGTAAACTTTGGGTGCACGTGATGGCGCACCCAACCAACTGAGGCACACTGGCCAGGGCACCGTGTATTTTTTTTAACTACAAAAATAGTTTTTCTATTCTAACTGACCAATATTTAAAAAGATGGTAATATTCCATGAGCTCTGTCCAAGGTTCATAATAAGGAAGGAAGCAGTATGAAAGTTCTGGGTAAATACTAATATATAAATAAACATTTGGTTACTACTATTTTGCTATTCATTACTCCACAATAAATTAAATGAGCATGGCCTATTATTTTGTAAATCTTTAATTGCTTAAAATAGCCATTAATTGAATATTAGAGTATCACCCACCTGTAAAGTATCTGCAAATATTACAATGAGATTCTTCAGCTCCAGAACAAGATCAGGATCAGTGCAATAAGACTGTGGCAGGGGTGGGAGGTAGGGAAGATGTAGGAGTGGAAACAAACAAATAAAAAAACCCAGAGTCATTAGGTTAAAAACTACAAATTGAAACCTGGTTTTTTTTTAATCCCTTTACTCTGCCAGATTTACAATAAATTTTGAATCTTGGTTGTTAGTTACATCCACAGCTGACTTTCTCTAATTAGTAAAATTTTTTAGGGAAAGATCATTAAAATAATGTATCTAAATATCTGTATTATATTAAAAGATTTTCCTAAAATGTGCACATAGTAAACTTTTGTTAAAGCAATGACACTCATATTTCTACTAGTTATTTTAAAATGAAAAAATGATTTTACATATATATATTTATATATATGTATATATATAACTATGTGTATATAAATATATCGATATATAACTCATATTTTTAGTTCTCAAATATTTGTCTTTTAAGAGACACAAATATATTATTTTTTTCTAACATAAGAATGACAATTTCAGTATTTTATTAATAATTAACCAAAAGAAAATAATTAATTTTAAAGGAATAGTGAAATTTGCTGTCCCCTTAACAGTATTTAATAAAAATTTTAGTGTGATATATTGCATTCAACATATTGATATTATGACCTTGTATTTGATGTCATGGAATTAATAGGAAGCATACTTATAATTTTTCATATTCAGAGCAGGTCTGTATATAAACCATAAAACATATTGTTTTTTATTAATATGTTAGGAAAATTAGTTCACTGGAAAATAGTGTATTAAGAATCTATATTACTGATAAATAAAAATGCAGTGTGTTTATAATATAAATATCAATTAAGCTAATAATCCTCTTAAAATATTTTCAATATTCTCAATAATAAAATTATAAATAAAGTTATAAAATTTTAAGTATGAAGGGATTTTACTGAAGGTAAACTTCTGAAATTGTCTTAAGAAAAAGTCTACACTGAGCAATCATTAATTTCAGTAGTATTTATAATACTAACATATTTATTATTTCCACAAGAAGCATATTATAAAAATACTGAATCATTTTATTTTTATTCATTAAAAATATCTCAGTACATAAATTTCCATTATTCAAATGAGTTCAAAATTTGACAATGCATATTTTTTTAAAAATTTATAATTGCATTACTGGAAACAAATTATTAACACTGAAGAACAAGTTCTATTTGTTTTGGGGGGGTTTTTGTGGATTTTTTTTTTTGAGTTTTAATGATAGAATTTATTTTGGAAGCAAAGATTTAGAATGATAATTAAAAACCCTTCATTCATGGTGTTTTTAAGTGATGTAATAAAGAGGTCAGTTGAGATTAATAAGACCAGCTTAATTCTTCGTTTTTTATAATACTGGATTAAAAATGTTTTAGGAAGCCTTAGTCAGTTGCAAAACACAGCCCAATATCAGCAAATGAAATCCTGACAGTACTATTTCCAAATCTGAGCAATTACTAACTATATGCAGAATGATGGAAGTACAGTTTTCTTCTGACAATATCTGTCTCAGAAGTTCTGAAATTAAGTTAAAAATTTAGTAACATAAACTGTCTGACTTACTGAGTAAGCTCTAAGGACAGCAATTATCTTTGAGAGGGCCATGTTCCAAAGTTCGTCAGTGTATGCCCTGGTTACTAATCCTTGGGTCACATGCAAAATATGATCTTCAACCACAAAGAACCTAAAAACAGTAATTACCGATATAACATGTGTTAAAAAAAATTCAAAACCAAATACAAAATTATTAGTTCTGACATTTAACATAATATAAAAATAATACTTATTTCCATATTAGATACATACCCTACAATTTGAGTGAAATATCTTCTATAGCCATCAACTGTTTCATGCTTTAAATGAAAAATAAAAATCAATTTAAACCAATACATACCAGAACAAAAAAGTCACTACATTTATTAATAAATATTTATTGAGAACCTACTATATGCTGCATACATTTTTAAAGCACCAGGAAATACACTCATAAATAACAAAAAGTCCTTACCCTCATGAAGCTTGCATTAAAAATAAGACAGACAATAAACAAGTTAAAAAGCAAATATAACTTCAGAACTGCCCACCCCCTCAGCATTTAATTCAAGCCACCATCATCTCTCACTTAGGATATTACATCATTCTCCTACCTAGTCTCCCTAGCTTTCATGCTTGATCTTTAGTCTATTCTCCAGAGACCTGCTAAAATGATACTTCCAAATAGTAAAGAGATCACATATCTTCTGCTAAAAACCTTCCAATGACTTTTCTTCTGACTCACAATAAATGTCAAACTCTTTACAATCTATAATTGCATATTGTTTATAATTATATTTTTAATATAGATAATGATCTTGTGGTCAGAAGACATACTCTGTATGATTTAAAGTCTTTTATATTTATTGAGATGTATTTAATGGTCCAGAATATGATCTATCTTAGTGAACATTCCAATTCTAATTGAAAACCATTGCATAGTCTACCATTTTAGGTAAAGTATTCAGTCAACATCAATTAATCAAGTCAGCTGATAATGTTTTTCAGACTTTTATTTTATCTTTGGTGTTCTGAAGTTTCATTGTAAGGCCTTTAAGAATAAATCCTTTTTATTTAAAGCTACTTGGTATTCCTTAGGCTTGACTTTATAGTTTTCTATTTTTCATCTGTCCTGGCAAATTCTCAGCCATTATGTTTTTAAATACTCCTCTGTCCCATTTGTTTTATCTTCTCTTTCTGAAACTCCAACTAGAAATATGTTAGACCTTCTCTCTGTATATCCTGGCTCTTATTTATTTTTATCATTTTGTCTCTCTGTGATGCTTTCTAGATAATTTCTTCAGATCAACTAAAGAGAATTCACCAACTGTTAAACCTATCATAAAACTTTAAATTTTAGTTAATATATCTTTAATATCTAGGTATTCTACCTGATTTTTCTTTACATTTTTTGCCATTCTTTATATTTTATTATTCCCTAATTATATCAGCAAGCTTATAATAAGTGCTTAAACTTATCTCAATTTCTGCCTTCATTTAGGTTTTCCTGTTTTCTTTGTTTTATAGTCAGATCTAATGAGGTATAAGTTAGATACAATAAAACTCACTCTTTTTCATGCACTACAAGTTTTCACAAATATATCTGGTCATGTAACTATCACCAAAACCAACATATGAAACAGTTCCGTATTCACTACATTTTTTTTCTGACTATACTTTTGTTCTGACTATCCTCTCAAAAAAGAACAACAATTTTTAAAAAATACTTTAAAAAAATTAATCAAGATACAGAGTCCACCATGTTGTAAGAAATTAATGATCACACCCAACACCTCATATATTTATTTGTTTATCCTTTTATTTATTCACTATTTTATTTGTTTACTGTCTACCTTCGCCAATAGAATGTAAGTTCATGAGAGAAGGGACTTATCTGTTTTGCTCACTGTTGTACCATCAGCACCTGAACCAATTATTGAAAGTAGTAGGTGTTCAATAAATATTTATAGTTAAATGAATAGCGATGCAAGCTCTGAAGAAATTAAAGCAGGTAAGGAGATAAAAAGTGACAACATGACCGATTCAAAAATTTTATATACTTACCATATTTGACTGGGGCTGCAATACTAGTCTTGCTTGTTTCTTTCTTTGTTTTCGATAATAATTTTCAAATGTTTCCTCATCACCCTAAAATCAAACCAACAGAGTAATGAAAACACATACATACACACAAACACACACACACACACACACACACACACACGCACACACACCACACAAATATACTTACCAAAACAGAATAAATGTGCAAACATCTATAAACTGGAGAAAAATCAACGAGTTCTTGAACAGTTAAGACCTGAAAAATAATACCATTTTAAAAATTTTAGAGGTCAAACTACTAGTCCACTCTTTGATAGATAATATAAACTTAAAGATAGACAAGGAGTGCATTAACTTCATGTTATAACATTTATCACCTATAAAAAACATAGACTAAAAATATAATGCCTTTTTTACATTCTTTTGGCATTTAATCAGTTCATTCTGTTTATATTTATCATCACTGGCTATTTTAGATTATTCTATACCAGAGGCATGATGCATGAATTTGTGCACCGGGGGGAAGGGGAAGGGGCTGCAGGAGGTTGGCCAGCTGCCTGCCATGGGAGGTTGGCTGTGGGAGTGCACTGACCACCAGGGGGCAGCTCCTGTGTTGAGCATCTGCCCCCTGGTCATCAGTACACATCATAGCAACTTGTCGTTCTAGTCATTCCGGTTATTCAATCATAATGGTCACTTAGGCTTTTATAGATAGATAGATAGATAGATAGATAGATAGATAGATAGATAGATAGATAGATAGATAGATGATAGATAGACCGATAGACAGATAAATAGACAGATAATAAAAGCTTAACATACTAAGTGTCCAACCATTCAAACAGTCACTATGACATGCACTGACCATCAGGGGGCAGTTAGCTTGCTGCTGGGGCTGGCTGATCGGGACTGGGCAAGATGGGCTGGACATGCCCTGGAGTCCTCTCACAGTCCCTCCCCAGCCCAGATTGTGAACTGGTGGGGTCCCTTGGCCTGGCCTGCACCCTCTCACAATCCAGGACCCTTTGAGGGATGTTGAAGAGCTGGTTTCAGCCCAATCCCCGCAGGCCAGGCTAAGGGACCCCATCAGTGCATGAATCTGTGCACTGGGCCTCTAGTAAGTAATAGAGGAGAGAAACTTATGTCTTCAACATACTTGGTAGGGTGCCAGAAAAACTGTTACAGATAAGAGACTACCTTATTATTACTTTTGGTAAAGATGGATTTATGGTATAGCTATAGACAAAGTTCCTGCTCTTCTGCAGCTAAGTCATGTGATTTACCATTATTTCTTCAAATTGAAGACATAATCATTATTATTTTATAAAACACAAAAAAAGAAAAACACTAGCACTTGAAACTATGATATCAATTTAAGATGTATCCCAACTCTGAGAAGTTGCACCTCAGAATAGATGAAATAGAGTAGTATGAAGTTTCTCAAACTTGAGAAATAAATGATTTTTAAAGAAACATATTTCTATGCTCATGAGTCCCCAGAGTAGACTTATTTTTATTATAATATTACTTATTAGGGAAAATGATAGAAATAAATACAAGTAATAATAAAATAGATCTGTAAAAACAGGGAAACAACCAACTTTTTCTTACAGAATGGATTTAGCAGTAGAGCATGATGGTAATCTCTCAAAAGTTAAACATACAAAACATCCCTGTTCGGTAGTGTTCATTGTTTAGAGTATCTGCCCAAGAACGAAAGGGTCACAGATTCAATTGATGTTTCTCTTTCTCTCTCTCTCCCTCTCCCTCATCCTCTCCTTCTCTCTTTCTCTTCTTCTCTCTAAGTAAATAACATTTTAAAATAATAATTTCAAGGTTTCTAAACTTATTAAAACTTTTTCAAGAAATAAAAAACTTTTTAAAAAGAAATGAAAAACTTTAATCATATTAGAATTATTTTATAGTATCTCAGCACCAATTTTTTTTAAAAGCAGGCTATCCAGAATTAGTCTAAATTTTAAGGTCACACCATCATAAAATTAAATGTTTACCACAGATAATTAAAATATAACCAATCCTTCAAAAAATTAGATTTACACTTTTGCTCCTCATTGTGGCAGAACAACTAAGTTGAACTATTCCTGATTTATAAATATAAACTATAATATTTCATGTTTATCAGTTAATTATGCAATTAACTGATCATTCTATTGCCCTACCATCACTAACTAGTCTACATAAATTTAAATTTGCACATGGTAAGAATAAGAATCACAGTAATACATTACAAGTTAAAAGAAAAAATTCAAACAAAGAAAGAAAATATAAAAATATTAGAGGAATCCACAGGCAGCAAAATCTCAGACATATGCCGAAGCAATATCTTCACCTATATAGTTCCTAGGGCCATGGAAACTAAAGAGAAAGTAAACAAATGGGACTACATCAAAATAAGCTTCTACACAGCAAAAGAAACCATCACCAAAACAACAAGAAAGCCCTCTGAATGGGAGAACATATTTGCCAATGTTATCACCAATAAGGGTTTAATCTCCAACATTTATAGGAAACTCATACAACTTAACAAAAGGAAGATAAATAACCCAATCAAAAAATGGACAATGGACCTAAATAGAATCTTTTCGAAAGAGGACATGAGGAAGGCCAAGAGCCATATAAAAACATGCTCAAAGTCACCAATCATCCGAGAGATGCAAATCAAAAGGACAATGAGGTACCATCTCTCACACCTGTCAGAATGGCTATCATCAACAAATCAACAAATGACAAGTGCTGGCGAGGATGAAGAGAAAAAGGAACCCTCGTGTACTGCTGGTGGAATGCAGATTGGGACAGCATAGAGTTTCCTTAAAAAACTGAATATGGAACTCCCATTTGACCCAGTGATCCCACTCCTAGGAATATATCCCAAGAAACTAGAAACACCAATCAGAAAGGATATATGCACCCCTATGTTCATAGCAGCACAATTCACCATAGCTAAGATTTGGAAACAGCCTAAATGCCCATCCGCAGATGAGTGGATTAGAAAACTGTGGTACATCTACACAGTGGAATACTACATTGCAGTAAAAAAAAGAAGGAATTCTTACCAATTGCAACAGTATGGATGAAAGTGGAGAGCGTTGTGCTAAGCGAAATAAGCCAGTCAGAGAAAAATAAAGATCACATGATCTCACTCATTTGTGGAATCTAATGAACAACATTAACTGATGAACAAAAACAGACCCAGAGACAGAGAAGCATCGATCAGATCCTCAAACCTCAGAGGGAAGGTAGGGGAGGGGAGGAGTAAGGGGGAGAGATCAACCAAAGAACTTCTTTTCAAGCATAAAAGCCTAACCAATGGACACAGACACCAGGGGGGTGAGGACATGTGTTGGGGGTGAGGGGACAATGGGGGAATAAGGAAACATATGTAATACCTTAATCAATAAAGAAAAAAAGAAAAAAGGAAAGACAGAGATAAAGTAACTCTAGTCACCTCCTCTTCATTCTCATCCTCTTCCTCAAATGTATGTTTCAACACAATTTCATTCCTTTCTTCTGTAAATCTATCATTTATATGCATGTTCCTCCCAAATTTTACATTATTTTGCTTCTGCAGAGCAACACTGAAGGTTTTCTGCTGTTGTGCCTATTTGAGAAAAAAAGAAAAAATCAGGTTATTTCAAAATTTATTATGGTCAAAATCGGTTCAAGAACTCATTCATATTTTTTTTATATTTTTGTCTGCAGGTATAGGATGTGGAGTAATAACCCATTTTTAATTTATGGCCTGTGCCCTTTCTCTTCTTTTTTGAACAGTCCTGCAAGGGTTTATAATTTTATTTTAAAAGATTAAGACCCAACTTTTAACTCTGTTGATTTTCCCTAGTGTTTTATTTTCTATTATATTGATTTCTATTCTTACCTTTATTATTTCCTTCTACTTACTTTTTAAAGAATTGTATTTTATTGTGGTAAGCATACTTAAGATGAGATCCACCATAAGTCTTAAGTGTACATAGATTATATTATTATATATGATAATATTAACATTATGTTAATATATTAACAATACATTATTTTTAACTATAAGTACAATGTACAATGCTGTACAGCAGACTTCTAAAGCTTATCCATTTTGCTTACCTGAAACATTACACCTGTTGATTAATAACACTCTTTCCCCCGCTCCTTCCAGCCCCGGGTAACCACCATCCCACTCTTTGATTCTATGAATGTGACTATTTTAGATTATTTTCCTTTTTACAGACGGGGTTGTAGTATTCCCTTGTATGTACCACTATTTCTTAAATATTCATCTGTCAACGACCATGTGGTTGGGGTTGATCCTTACAGTTAGCCAGCCTGAACAAACAGGCCAGAGCAATCAACACTCAATTACAACAGGAGGGCCCACATAACCCACACAGGAGTTGGTCATTCCTAGAGCACCCGGCTCTGCCTTCACCTATTGGCTGCCTATTAGGCTCAGTCACTTCAGTGGAGCCTCTGGAGGTACAAAGGCATAGAGCTCTTTTTTGCTCTCTTTGGTAACCCAATCATTGTTTAATAGCATGCTATTCAGCTTCCAAGTGTTTGAATTTTTTTATTGTTTTTATTGTAGTTTATTTCTAATATTATTCCATTGTAGTCTGAGAAGATGCTTGATATTATTTCAATCTTCTTGAATTTGGAGAGACTTTGCCTTGTGACCCAATATGTGGTCTATCTTTAAAAATATCCCATGTACATTTGAGAAGAACGTATATTCCGTGGGTTTGGGATAAAATGTTCTGAAGATGTCAATTAAGTCCTTTTGATATGGTGAGTAATTTAGGATTGCTGTTTCTTTGCCGATTTTTCTGTCTAGAGGGTTTATTAGGTGATGACAGTGGGATATTAAAGTACCCTTCTATGACTGTATTGTTCTTGATCTCTCCCTTGATATCTTCCAGGATTTATTAAATGTATTTGGGTGCCCCTGCATTGGGTGTATATATGTTTACAAGGGTTATATCCTCTTGTTGTATCAATCCCTTTAGTATTATGATGTGGCCTTCCTTATCTCTTATAGCCTTCACTATGAGATCTATTTTGTCAGATCTGAGTATTGCTATCCCAGTTTTTTTTTCTCATTTCCATTTGCCTGGAAATGAAATGCCATTTTTCCATCCTTCATTTTCAGTCTGTGTGAATTCCTTGTTCTGTAGTGGGTCTCTTGTAGACAGCACATATATGTGTCATGTTTTATTATCCATTCAGCCATTGGATGTCTTTTGATTGGAGCATTTAATCTGTTTACGCTTAAAGTTATTATTGATATGTACCTGTTTGTAGCCATTTTCATTTTTTGTGCCTGTGTTCCTTCTTCCCTTTTTATTTCTTCTTTTTACACCAGTCCTTTTAGCATTTCTTGCATTGCTAGCTTGGTGGTGATAAACTCCCTTAGACTTTTTATCTCTCTCCCTCCTCCTTCCCTCCCACTCTGTCTAAAATCAATGGAAAAAATATCCTCAGAATGAAGATTTTTTTTTTTTAAAGTCTATTCAGGTCTTTAGGCCATTTTTAAAATCAGATGATTAGATTTTTTACTATTGAGTTGTAAGAGTTCTTAACATATTTTGGAGATTAATCCCTAATGAATATATAGGTTGCAAACATTTTCTTCCATTCTATAGATGGCCTTTTCATTCTGATAATTGTTTCCTTTGCTGTACAGAAGCATAATGGCTGGGAGATATACATATGCTGTCACACATATCAGAAATGCATTCCTTTTTATTGCTAAGTAATATCCCATTTTATGAGTATAGCACAATTTGTTTATCCATTCTCCTTAGGCTGTTGCCAGTTTTTAGCCAACTGTGAACAAAGCTACTATGAACATCATGAGAATATGTTTTTATTTATCATTGGTGAATAACTAGGAAAGGAAATGCTGACTCAAAGGTAGTTACATTAACTTATAACTGCCAAATCTATCCCTTTGCTTGTCTTTTTATTATTGAGCTATGGGAGTTAATTCTAAATAATACTTTCAATTTGTTTTAAAGAAAGAGTGATTTAGAACCCTAGCATAAAAAGGCTGCCACTTTTCAGCTAATTTTGTACCAAGTTTGACTGATGGCAAAAGTTAATGTAATACCACATAGTTGGGGAACACTGCCAAGTAAACAGATAGTACGTCTAGTTAAATAAGGAATAATCACAGTTCAAAAGAAGACTCTAGTGAAGTCCATTCTAAACAGGAACCAGGAAATATGACAAAGGGTAAAACTAAACAAAAATAAGCATTTTATGGACATAAGAAAAGTAAGCTTTGAATATATTCTATAATCTAGATTATTAAATAACATTAAATTTTTAAAATTTAACTTCACCTGTTTCATTGCTGCTTCACCTATTTTATTAGAATGTTTTCGAATGCTTTCCAAAAAGTCTTTGAGATCAGACATAGAGATTTCTTTAATATCCTCACGGAGTTTAGGAAGATTTTCTATCATTAGCTGACAAAATCGATATTGACTAACCCGGGGAAAATATACATTCTCTAATTGTTCCATAGTTTTTAGAGCAGAGTAATACCTGTGAGAAGTTAAAAAGAAAACTCTATAAAGTTCTTATTACATTAATTTTACAAATAATAAATCTAACACTACCAAAAAAAAAAGGTTAGGTATAAGTAAAACAAACATTTATTTTTATTTACTAATTAGCACAAACTATAAATCATAAGAATAAGCAACAAGCTGAAAATTCACTAACATACAATTTCATTTCACTTCATCCAAATTATATAACATCATAAACATTATAGTCATCACTATACCTAAATGTATAATAATTATAAATTTTTTAATTAGAATATTTAGTTGATAGGTGATTTCATTAATATCTCTTCCATCAACACATCATCACCATCCAAAAATACAAAGCACAGATTTAATTTAAAGTAAAATATATGTTAAGAAATTTAAAAAATCTAACTGTCTAAGACAATTAGAAATAATATTATATAACAAAAAAATAAAAAACCACTAGCAGAGCAATTTTTTTCCATTTCAACAAATACTGAATGCCTATTACTTAGTAGGCACTGGTGACATGCTGGATATGCAACAATTAGTAAAGTATAGCTTATTCCCTAGAAAAACTAACATATAATTTCATATACATACTTCCGTTTTCTCTAGACTTCTATAAGGCAGATGCTATGGCAGATTATTATTATTAATCTATAAATGAGAAAACTAAAACACAGAAAAAGGTTATATAATTTGGTCAAGATACTAAATTTAATAGTAGGACTCGAACTTTCCAAAATTGTCAATATTCCGCAATAATATTCACCACCAAAACTCATTTAAGAGTAAGTAGAGGATTTTTTAATTAATTAATTAATTAATTAATTAATTAATATTCTATGCCTTTCCAGTGATTTAAAATGAGAAAAGGCACTATCAAAAAAAAACCCAGAAAGTAATATATATGCAAACTAAAAAAACAGAAGGTTGAAAAGCTACTTAAAGATATTTATTGGTTTTCTAGCTTATATATTCTCAAAGGTAGAGTATATTTTGCAAATTGTCACAAAATTGTACCACTAACTTAAGCATTACACCTAAATTTTATTGTAATTTAAAATCACCAGAATTGTTATAATATAAATATTATATATATATTTGACCCTAGCCAGTTTGGCTCAGTGGACAGGGCTTCGGCCTGCGGACCAAAGGATCCCAGGTTCAATTCCAGTCAAGGGCATGTACCTTGGTTGCAAGCTCCTCCCCAGCCTGGGCCCTGGTCAAGGCTTACACAGGAGGCAACCATTGTGCAGGAGGCAACCAAACAATGTGTTTCTCTCACATCAATGTTTCTCTCTGCCTTTCCCTCTCTCTTCCACTCTCCCTAAAAATCAATGGAAATATATCCTTGATTGAGGATTAACAACAACAATAAAGAAACCAAACAAACATATATATAGTAGAGTCCTGGTGCATGAATTTGTGCATGGGTGGGGTCCCTCGGCCTGGCGGGTGATCAGGGCCCATTGAGGCCACCTTGCCCAGTCCCAGTTGGGGCTGGCGACTGGGAGGGACTTCAGGAGCCTGGCTGGTCTCAGGAGGTTGGCTGTGGGAGCACATTGACCACCAGGGGGCAGCACCTGCGTTGAGCACCTGCCCCCTGGTGGTCAGTGCACATCACAGCTACCAACCAGTCATCCAGTTGAAACAGTCACTTAGGCTTTTATGTATATATAGATATATTTGGTCAGAAATTAACACATTTAGGTGAAGGTATTAAGAAGTAAAAATTGGTATGGGGATGTAAAATATACCACAGAGAATATAGTCAATAAAATTGTAATAACTATGTAAGGTGTCAGATGGGATTTATTAGGGTGATAAATCCATTAGTTAGAAAAATGTCTAATCACTATGCTGTACATCTGAAACTAATATAATATTGCATGCCAACTTTAATTTTAAAAAATATTTAAAAATAAAATTTTCATCTTTAAAACAGGTTAAACAGTACAGCTAATGTTTCTATGGCAATTAATAAACTACTTCAAATTATTTTTACTTTTCATTTATCATTCATGCATTTGTGTTATAAAACAGAACATGAACTACACTAGCCCAGATTGTCAAAATATAACTACCCATACTTTACTTTCATCTGTGGATTTACAATACACACTTAGCTTTTGATTTTATGCAATGTCAATGTTGCATAAATTAATCAATATTTTTTCATTCCTGTTCAATTGTCTATTTATCCCTCATCAATTTGATCAATCTTCTATATCATTTACATAGGGTAATGATCCCCAAATAAATAACTAAGAACTGCTTTATTGAATGATTCTGATGAGCAAATTGGATGAACAAAGCATAAAAGCAAATTTCACATGATTCACTATAATTTTCAATAAGTTTAAACATGCCTTCAAGTAATTTACGAAAAGGAATTCTTATTAAAAGCAATTAGGTAAGAAACCAACTCACCTTTTTGCACTCATCTGTTCTTTTAGCTTAGTGTACATTTCCAGCACTGCAGTTAAAATATAACTCATTTTAGCTTTCAAATTAAAAATAATTTTTGAGAGATGAAAATAATAAAGGAAGGCATCAGCATATTATAAGTTCATTAATTTTTCCCATAGTTTGATTTAGGCTTACATTTTCAAATAAAAGTTTATACTTAGAGTAAAAAAGAAAATTTAATTTCTATATATGTTAAACATTACATGTATTACTACATTTTATTAAACTTGGAACATTTGCATATGCTGACCCCTAAAATTGAGACATCAACCTACTAACAAATACCCTATTCAGAAACTTACTAATATAATATCTCTTCCCTGCAGGTGAAAGAAAGTTTGGATTTTAGTTATTTGAGAGAAAAAGTTGAATGACAGTGAGATTGATTTTCATTCAATATATCAAATAAGATAGCACAACTGTGTTATAGCACATTAAACAAAATTTTACAACAAATCCACAAAGGAAGAGACACCTCAAAAGCTTATAGCACACAATGAATTATGATAAAGACATACATAAACATAAAGCATCTTCCTTTCTTTTATCATTTCTATCAAAGGTACAGAAATGCAGTTATTCAATAAAGCTGTTATAAACTTCAGCAAGATGATATACCATTCATCCTTAATAGAATTTCAAAGTATAAAATGAGTGACTATATTATTATTGGCTCATCAAGCCACCTCCAAATTTCCTAGACCAAAGAGATAGACATTTTTTCCCCCAGATTTTTCTATAATTTTACAGCTACCCTCAGGGACTTTCAAATTTATAAAAAATATTGTTTACCTATCTGCAACCCATAAAATCTGCAAGGGTGGCTATAGTGAACCTGTCCTAATTCTACAGACTCTATGTATATTACTATCATACCCCTATACATAATGCAATATTTTTTACATTTCTAACCAAAACATATGCCTGGGAAAGAGCATAAAACTGCTGCTACTAGAATAAACTTGCTTTGAAATCTGTTTTATCTTAACTATTTATGTAAATTTCATATCTACCTTCTAATATTTCTATATTATTTTCATATAAAAATAATACTTTCCTCAAATATAATCAAGTAAAACTAGTGCACCAGAAAAATGCATTGTTTAACCTGTGACTTCTTACATCCTTTCATACTTCTAATCTAAAGAGGAGGTAAGCAACTGTACAGTAATTGATGGCTTGTCTTTAGTCAGATAAATTACAGGGTCCTTTAGAGCTGAGACTATGTCACCTTCAACTTTATATTTCCAATAATTCCTGACACAAAAATGTATTTGTTAGTAGATAATTAGATAGAAGGATAGATGGAGGAAAGGAAGTAATTCTAGACATGGCTATTAGGAATGCAATGTTTATACAACTCAGATTATACAACTTAGGAAAAGCACTGAAAGCAAAATTTTAACTCCACTTCCCTTTATTTCTCTATTTCAAGTAGCCCACTAGGTGAATAAACTGAATTCAGCTCTTTCCATTCCATCAGTATAAATTTTTTAGGCTTATTACAATTCAGAGACAAAGCATTCAAACTTAGAATCTGTCTTCATAGCAATTTCAGAGTATCTGATGGTGACAAAGAGGTATTACTAAATATTACTATTAAAGGAAATAGATTTCTTAACCCTGAAACCTCACATAATGAGCAGACATTATATTTACTCAAAGTTAATGTGCACATAGCCCTGGTCCATCAGAGATTAAACTCATTAGAATTTCAGTGATTCTATTTTTTAAAAAGCTATTCTCACAAGTCAGAAAACAATAATTGTTTAGCTAATAAGATCTGTTGACAGTTTTAACATACAATTCTCATCCTAAGCTAACTTTATATTATATAGAGTGGAGCAAGAGTCAGTTTACAGTTGTTTATATGGAAAATCATACAATCCTATATAATAAAAGCCTAATATGCTAAATGTCCAGTCACCAGTCAGCCGTTCAACAAAGTATAATATGCTAATGATATGCTAAGGACACTCAACTGCTTACTATGATATGCACTGATCACCAGGGGGCAGACAGTCGACTAGTCAACCAGTTGCTATGACATGCACTGACCATTAGGGGGAAGATGCTCCAACTGGTAGATTAACTTGATGCTGAGGTCTGGCATATCGAGACTGAACAAGATGGGTCGGACACACCCTAGAGCCCTCCCATGATCCCTCCCCGGCTGGTTAACCTCCCAAGTCCCTTTGCAATGGTGGGGTCCTTCAGCCTGGCCTGCACCTTCTCGCAATCCCCTTGGGGGATGTTGGAGAGCTGGTTTGGGCCCCGAGCCCGCAGGCCAGTCTGAAGGACCACACTGGTGCATGAATTTGTGCACCAGGTTTCTAGTAATTAATAGATAAGAATAAACTTGGTGTTTTGCATACTCACTACTATAAACCTATGTTTTGCCCCACCCTGTACAATTATTATATTCAAAGCATCTCATTCTATTCCTAGGATATGAAGGTTCCAGTTCCTTCCTGAAAAATAAATTAAAAAATGGGACACTGTTGGATTTAACTTACTATACTAAGAAAAGGATGATATACACCTGCTTCCTTTTGTTTAAACAGGATATATCCAGGTTAAAAAAAAAAAAAAAAAAACGTACTGGTTAGTTTCTTTAAAAATTATTGATGTCTCGGTAATATCTGAGCCCTTACTGAGAATTCAGAACCTCAGAAACCTAAAAGTCAATCTTTCCAAAATATAGATGGAAAGGCAAGAATGAAGAAGGAAGAAGACCTAGCATTTTGGGATATTTTATTATCTCATCAGCAAAATGAGATTGTGAGCAAACCAAAACCAAGCTGCTTAAGTATCAAATAGAAAACTATAGGCAATAAAATTATAAGCAAATTAAGACAAGACAAGAAAATGTAATTTAAAAACACTCTCCTCATGGGAAAGTATTCTGAAGAAACACAAAGTTGAGGAGAGGCAAGTGGAGCAGAAAGGAAACGGAAAGGTTCTAGGAAACTGATGTGACAGATCACCAAATGTGGACTTACTTTTTAGAAAAACTCAGGGAACAAAGTGGATAAGAAAGATAACCATAGGCTTTTGGGGGGAACAACCACGAAATACCTGTAATTCCCATAATGAATAATGACTATATGTTATCATTAAATTACAATTTTACATTATGGACAATTTAACTCACCTGGAAGGCACAACTGCAATTTTTCTACTACAGTTGTAATATTCCTCTGCTGAATTCTACATCGAATAATATCTTCTGTTTGGACTACCACCTTAGGAAAAAAAATGATCGTATGTTTAAATAAACAGTTAAATCATATCCACATATTGGTATACAACAAATGTATAATTTTCTCACCTCCTTTCCAGCATCTTGAAATCGTCGGTTGGTATCAGTAACTTGTACCTTAAAAATAATTTCACCTTAGTTAGACAAATATACATAAAACTGCCCTGATGTAACTGCTCACCCTTGTAATCAGATCATGCTTCATGAGAAACTTAGAACAAAGAAATGCAAATTCAAATTAACTCTACAGCTTGAACTTGAACTTTTGATTGAAAAGGGCTTTTAACTTCAATTACTTATGACAGTTCTTTTTAACAGATTCTGTGGCAAACTTCTCAAATTTACTCAAGATTTTTGAACTTTACTTGCTTCTCTAAGTCTGTCAAACAATTCAAATCACTGACCCAATTGACCACTGGTCCCTTTTTGATAACTTCAATGAGGTCTATGTGCCACTCATTGTCTGTAGGAAATGGTGATTGCATTTTACGGTAATTAAACATTCATACTTTGCTGAATGCAAACACTGGGTGGTTGATTAACATCAAACACAGAAATCTCAATCCACAGCAACATTTTAATGCTGCAGGTGCAGGCAAAGCTCAACCTCAAATTTTCCCACATATTAAGTGACTCATTAGGTCATCATAGTAAGGAAGCACATTCTGGTTTATTAAAAATCTCATTAATTTTTTAACAAAGATGCTCAGTGACCTCATTGATGCTGTATTTGGTCATTTGTTGTCTGAACATCCTTTATATAATGGCTTTCTAATCATAACCTTTGGTAAACCAGGGTCATTCTGTCTGCTAAGTTCTCCAAATGTAAAGAAAGATAAGTAGGACAATTCTTATAACTATCCTGTTTCCCTGAAAATAAGACAGTGTCTTATATTTTTGCTCCCAAAGATGCGCTAGGTCTTATTTTCAGGGGATGTCTTATTTTTCCATGAAGAAGAATACGGTACACATTTATTGTTAAGTGAAAATAAAGGAAATTTATTACCTGTATACGGAACAGTAAATTAATTTTCATTCTGAGACAGAGCCTAGGAGGGCCTTATTTTCGGGGGGATGTCTTATATTTCACTCAGAAGGAAACCTATAAGTAGGTATTATTTTCCGAGGATGTTTTATTTTCGGGGAAACATGGTATACATTTGTATTCTAACTGAACAAATTCAGGTCTCATTTAATAAATAATGTTTTTCCTGTGTGGCCAAAAATATAGACTAACTTTCTTTAAGAAAATTACACATTGCTATTAAACTAAAAAAATAGTTTCAATATCATTAAATAACTTTAAGAATATAATTACATAAAGTAGTTTTAAAAGGTTTTTATATTTGTACTAATTGTCTTATTAAAAATTCTAAAACTGTCAATGGGACCTTTCATTGTATGAAGTTTTTTAGTTTATTTTCCTGCATGGAAAGAAATTCTGTTAAGTCAAAGCATTACTTGCTTTACTAAAAAAGGGATTACTCCTGTCATTAGCATGACAACTATGTTAACAAAGCATGAAGAGCATTCCCAATTATATACACTGATGCACTTCCTGAAAGTAGTACATTTAATAAAGGTTTGTACCATGCACTGTAAGCTAATAATTGAGTAATTTTTAAAAATATATTTTTATTGATTTCAGAGAGGAAGGGAGAGGGAGACAGAGACAGAAACATCAATGATGAGAGAGAATTACTGACTGGCTGCCTCCCGGACACTCACTGGGGATCGAGCTGGCAACCAGGGCACGTGCCCTGACCGGGAATCAAACATTGACCACCTGGTTCACAGGCCGATGCTCATCCATTGCGTCATGCTGGCAGGGCAACACTTGAGTAATTTAATGACATTAAAGATAAGCTGAATTTTAACATATTTCTTACCTTCAGTTTTTCTGCATCAGTCCTTACTTTAAGGAGTTCTGTAATCGCATCTACAAAACCCTGATGGTGAAAATTACACATCTTTTCAATTTCCTTGTCATGATTACGGATACAAGTATCTAACTTTTCCATAAACTTCTTGTGTGCATTTGGTTGGTCATCATACACAGACCTGTAGGTATATAAAAAGAAAGCTAACATTAATTTCCCAGTTCACCAAAATTTATTCTTTAAGCCCGTTCTTTGAAACAGCTGGTATCTTAACATTTATCTAAATCTCGTAACGGATAAACTAGGTTGATAGTACTGCCACTAGTAGAAATAATTTGAGTAAAAAATATTTCATTTCTCTTTGAACATGTTAATAGAGCCACAGCTCTCTAAATATATCACTAGGCATCTGGAAATAAAAATATGAGGCTTAGGAGAGGAGTCTTTACATATTAATGTTCAAAAAAGAGTAAACAATTAAGGAATGAATGAACAAACTCCTATTTCTACATCATTTGCTATGTGTCATGGCATATTCTAAATGCTTTATATAGTAACCCTTTAATCCTCACAACAAGTTTATAATGTAGGTAGGTATTACTGCCCTTGCTGTGTATATATAAGTGACAGGTTATATAACTACCACATATTCTATAGCTAGCAAGTGACAGCTGGGATATGAATCCTGGTGGTCTTGCTCCAAGAGTTCATATTCTCAAGTACAAGGCCACATTGCAGTCACCACAATGTTCTCTAAATATGACATACACATTCCTACTGTATCTAAGCTCACGCTGTCTCCCCATATAGGGCAGCCTACCCTCAACTCTGCCATGCAAGAAAGGATTAACATTGTCCAAAGAAAGGTTTGGCCCTTGCCCCCAGATCCTTTGGAATGTCCTGCCTGATAGATGCCCTTTTTTCCTTGGGGGCCATGAGCAATGCCAAACAGTCTATGTTAACACTGTGATTTACAGTGAGTGAGGACCAGGGTATCTGCTCTGGAGGGGCTGGAGACTGAAGTCAGCAACGCAGGCAGTGAGCCATGTCTATGTGACTGACCCCAGTAAGAATCCTGGATACCATGGCTGTGGTAAGCTTCCTTGGTTGGCAACACCCCATAAGTGTTGACACACATCATTGCTGGAAGATGTAAATGCTGTCCAGCTACTCCACTGGAACAAACTGGAAACTCCTGCCTATAACTCTCCTAGACCCTGCCTTATAAGGCTTTTCTGTGGTGGATTTTAATCCTTTTGCTGTTAACAAAGAGTAACTGTGAGTATAACAGCTTTGCTAAATTCTGTGAGTCCTCCTAGTGAATTATTGAACCCGAGAGCAGTCTTGGCACCCTCCCCAAAATGCACCCCCGCCCAATCTGTTGCCCATTGTTTGAGGTTTAGTTCAAGTCCCACTTCCTCCAACAGGCTTTTGTCAATCATTTCAATGCCAAGTAATCTTTTCACGGGCAGGACAGCTAAACATATAGTCCTTTCCATTCATTCTGACATGTAATCATATATGATTTTGCATTGTAATTTAAATGTTTCAATTATATGTCATATATTTTGTTTCTCCATATAGAACATAAGCTTCTTGAGGGCAGTTTCCATGGCTTAGGTTTTCAATTATAATACTAGAGAGGACAATATAGAATAGCAATTACAAGTACTTGGGCTGTTAAAGAGCTAAGCTAGACCTAGGCTCTGATCTTGGATATCCCTTTTGTACCTATACTACTTTCTCTAATCTAGATTTGGAGCTTTAAATTCCATAAACACAATGACACCTTCCAGATGTACATTACCAGCCCTGACCTCTCTTCTGAAATTCATATATCTCCAAGTGGATATCTGATAAGCATCTCAAATATGTCTAAAATAAATTACTTTCCTATTTTCTGAAACTTGATCCTCTCACAGTTTTCTCCCATCTTAGCTATTGCTAGTTCTCCTACTTGTTCAGGCAAAAAACTTTGAAATCATCACTGACTGTCCTCTTTCTCTTACCCCCATCAAACACTGGTACTTCCCTGGGACTAAGCCTTGCCTTCAGTTTGTTCTCAACACAGTAGACAGAATGACCCCATCCTATCTAATAAAGACAGAATATGCAAATTGACCATAACTCCATGACAAAGATGGCAGCACCCACAACCAATAAAGAGGGAATATGCAAATTGACATGACAAGGTGAGAGGCAGAAGGCAGCTCTGGCCGGAGCAAAGGTGGAAAGGTGGCTCTGGGCTGGAGCGAAGGAAGCCAGAGGAAGGAAGGTCTATTCTTGCACGAATCTCCGTGCGTTGGGCCTCTAGTAAAACATAATTTGGATCCCATTTCTCTCTTCTGCTCAAAACCCAATTTTTCTTACAACGGTCCATAAGGATCTACATAATTTTTCCCCATGTTATCTCATTGACTTCATTTCTAACTATTTATTCTTCACTGTACTTATTCCATGTTAACAACACTAGTCTCCTTGTGGTTCCTTAAACACACCAGGCACGTTCCTATCCTATGCTTTGCCCATAGTTTCCTCTACCTGGATCACAATTCTCATGTGTGGCTGCCTTCCTCTCCTCCTTCAGTCTGTTACCCATTCTTTTTTAAACATATATATTTTTATTGATTTCAGAGAGGAAGGGAGAGGGAGAAAGAGACAGAAACATCAATGAGAGAATCATTGATTGGCTGCCTCCTGCTCACTCCCTACTGGGAATCAAGCCCACAACCCAGGTATGTGCCCTGACTGGGAATTGAACTATATCATCCTGGTTCATAGGTCGGATCTCAATTACTGAGCCACTGGGTTTGGGTTGTTACCCTTTTTTGATAAGGCCCTTTCTGGCTACATTACACACACACACACACACACACACACACACACACACACACTTCCCTGCTTTATTTTCTCTTTTTTTATTTTCTAAAATAAAGGAGTTACTTTGTCACTGCATCATTCTTACTACTGGAGAAATACTCTCTATTTCACACTTTATTTTTCCAACTTCCCAATGTAAGTTGCATGAGGGCACAGAATGTATTTTTAAAAAGTACTGAAGGATCAGGCAAGTGACAGATCCCAAAATTTATCAAAAGATAGATTGTGGGCCCTGGAAAGGACACTAGAACGTTCCTAGTTCTGACTTTCTCAATTTAATAGATCTAGCAAAAATCTAAAATTCAGCATGCAGCCCAGCTAGTGTTGCCCAGTGGTTGAGCATTGACCTATGAACCAGGAGGTAATAGTTCGATTCCCAGTCGGGGCACATGCCCTGGTTTCAGGCTCAATGCAGGAGGCAGACGATCAATGATTCTCTCTGATCATTGATGTTTCTATCACTCCCTCCCGTCTTCCCTAAAATAAAATATATATATAATATTTTTTTTAAAAAGTAAAATAAAATCCAGTACGCAAGCACTCAAAATGAAACTAAGCACTGCATGTGGTTGAGTTAATCCTCTACCTACTCTGATGAAAAGTAATATTAAAAGTAACTATTCATTCTAAAAATGTGTTTTAAAAGGCAATAATAAATATCTGACTGAACAGAGAGCAGCAAAATAGGAGAAAAGGTGGATATGCATACGAACACTAGGAAGGGAAAAAAGCAAAAGCAATTCTTATTTCAACAATTTCTTGACACCATAAGCATAGCAGGATTTTCATTCTTTTCTCTGAAGGGCCCCAGGTTTAATTATAGAGACAATTTGGAGAGATGGTGAAAGGAGACGATACGGAGAAAAGCTGAGAAGATGGACACTCCCTGCCAACAATTCTCCACAGTGACTTAAGAGTCATATTGGGGGTTTGCAGGGCTGGGTGAAAAAGGTAAAGGGATTAAGCAAAAATAAACAAACAAACAAACAAATGCCAATAAAAGAGGAGTCTTATCTGCCACTTCTGGCTTAATGTGGCGAAGTTTTTTTGTTTTTGTTTTTTAAGCAGTAACACACAAGTAAGTACTTAAGTTCATTACATTCATTATCTCATTAACATACACTACAGCTTTACCATGTACATTCTGTTAGCATCCCAACTTATAGATGTGGTATAGAAAGATTAAGATTTTAAATCCGAAGTCACACAATAGTAGAGCCAAGATTTAGCCCCAGGCCAGCCTGACTCCAAAGCCACTGCTCCTAATCATTATGTTATACAGACTCGCCAATCAGAAATGGTGAGAAGCAGCAGGGAATGCAAAAAAGTTACCAGCACAGCAACTAACCAGATCACCTTTGAAGAGCAACAATTGAGAATGACTCAATAGGGAATCCCTGATGTGCACTGCTGCATCCATCAGGTGAAATCATCCGATGGACAGAAAAGAGGATGAGAACTGAGGCATAGCTAATTGTTAGGCAGCTGTAAATTACAAATGCAACAAAATAAGAAAGACCAAAATATGTAGCAGAGAAAATTGAGGGCCCTGTACTCATCTGACCTCAGCTGAAGAAACTCTGAAAATATACTTTTCTCTTTTCCTTTCCTTGGTCTTTGAATAATAATCATTATTCTTTAAATATTTAATTTGCAGGACAAGAAAGGAAATAGCATTCAGCAATATTCATTCGTTGAACCCTAGGTTGGTTAACAGTTGTGTCCATCTAATTAATATACAAAGGTGCCAGATATACTATTATCCTAAATTTTCAATATACAATTTTAATAAAATAGTTTTTTTCTTCTTTCAAAATGCCCCCCAGCATTTTATAATATTTACTGGCAAATTAATCACATTCCTATATATAAATGCATGCAGAAAAATGACAAAACCAGAAAGTAAACATTAGAAACTAATATTCTAAACAAAACAAAATTTTCCACTATTCCACATACACTCAGACTGTTCCTTAATGCTCCATATACAGATGATGACTTCAATGTAAGAGTTTAGTCGTCCCTTCTATAAGTTTAGCACAATAAAATCGTATTTCTTCTGGCAAAAGGTATTGCTAATCAGACAAAAATGCAGATGCAAAATAAATTTTAAAAGAATATCTAACTTTAAAATTTTATCTGAATCGAGAACAAAGACGTACTATGCTACACTAACTATCTTATTTACATATTTTAATTTTGGCAACTAGGAACACATTAAAAAACGAAGTATATGTCTTTATAGTTAAAAATTTTTAAGTACAATCAAATTTTCTATCTTTATTATATAAAATCTTCCAC